TTCTGTAACACTCAGTTTTTTTATTCCATTCATAATTGCTTGGATATTTTTGTAGCTGAGACATCATTAATATATTTCACACAGCAAGATCTGATATCTTTTAATGCTATTCAGTGCAATAAATACTTTAGAAGCAACTTTATAGTTTCTTATAATCACATTTATATATAACATTTTAATTATATAAAATATTTTTCACTTGGGAAATAACTGATTGTAATGCAAATCAATCCAATGATCTATGGACATGCAATTTTAATACCAATTATGTTTCTGTTAAACCTAGGTTAAAATAATGAAAATGGCCAAAAACAAAGAACCATGTTACATTAGTCAAACTGTTGCTTGCTAAATAGGGTTGTTAGTAAAATTAACTTATAATATACTTAGGCTATTGGTCTAATAATAAATTATTTGAGGTCTTTTTAGACAAGATGAGCACTGCATTCCGGCAGCAACAGTCCAACCCAAGCAAAGCTATGCTTCCTAGCATAATATAATGGATTTCTACTGTTTCACATAAACACAAGCACCATCAATACAACAGCATGATTTGTGACATCAGATTATTAGGTTGGTTTAAAACACCATTCTAACCATGCATGCATCAATACATGCATACTTATCAATACATTTTCACTCTACAGTTGTCCTCCTAGAACTCTGAAACCACTGCTTAAACTTTGAAAAGAAACAACTCAAAACTAGAACTCTTACAGGGAAATTGAGAAAGGAAATGTACAATGTGGGAATTGGTGGTACCTTCTCTTTGAACTGCTAGTCAACACAAACCCCAGACTGCTTTTTCAGGAGAGTTTGGGTAATATTTTGAAATTCTGTGGTGATATTTGTCACAGAATTGGTAGAACATTCATTTTCAATGATCAGAACGAATGAATCCAAAGATGTCAAGGTGGTAATTCCTGGTTATATTGTGATTAAAATGGTCAAAGATGTTCAACAAGAAGCATTTATGCATACTATTGTAATTATGGACGCTGCTTGGAAGCAAATGCTTAGGCTAGAAAAAGTCAGTGATGTGTAATAAAACAGATCTAATGTGGATGAAGACATTCAGTGTTAATGACACATTTTTGCTTTCCCTATTTATCTAGTATTGACATTCTAAGCTGATGCATTTAGATCAAGAGACATACTTATAACATATATTTGTGTTATGATATAAAGACAAAAAGGGCATTATAACATACTGGCTATTCTTCTTATGAACTGAATGAAGAAAAGCTATGAGTTCAACACTACTATTTCAATGAGACATTAGGTTATCATATGAATATTAAACCGAATAGAGGTTTCAAAACATATAAAAACTGTTCATTTTATTTTGTCTTATAGTTTTTAATCTAAATTATTAAGGTTTGTGTATTAAACACTGAATAATAATTTGAATGCAATTGGTACTGAGCTGACAAAATCGTATGGGAAATCCCCCAAAATTAATCTGTCCAGAATTTTAGAAAAAATCACAGATGCTTTTGGATACCTGTGAGAAAAATAACAGGGACCCAACCATGCTATTAAGCATTATAACTGCAATAGTTTTAAACATTTTAAACCCCATCAAGATTAAGCATGTTATATCTGTAGTTATTAGATACCAGAAAAACTGGAAGCTGGAAAAGCAGTTTGAGGACTCTAAAGAAGACCACATCAGGGAAAACCACGACCAACGAGCACAGTACTTTTCTCATATTTTCCCTTTAGAAGAGCTTTCATGTCAAATCCCCAAGCTTTTTTAAAAATTCAATTTTAAGAAGCAGTTTGAGACTCTGCAAGGGCAAGTGAAGAGACTGCCAGGAAAATCTGGATTTTTCTGTAGATAGTCTAACCTTTGTAGTTGTATTTGTTTCAAGAGCTGTTGCTCTTAATTTTTCTTCGAAATCTTATAAGCATTCCTCAGAAATTACATCATTACTTTAAAGCAAACTACATGTTGTGCAGGTTTTATAAGAAGTCAGTTAAGACCGTTTCTACTGAAGCATTCAAACAACCCTGAAAAAGCTCAAATATATTTTTCAGAGCACATAAACTTTGCAAATTGTTTATCTTGAGAAGAAAGGCTGATAAAGAAATGGTTTCCTTGTAAATATTTACCCCTTTTTCTTACAAAACTCATATCTACATTTTTCTTCTCTTCAGGCTCTACATTAATATTTATGATAAATAATTTAACATAAATTTAGCTTAATCAAAGATTATTTACTTCAAGTCTCAGAAACAGGTATCAATGAAGAAAACGCAAATTGTAACGTAGGCATTTTCTTAAAATACTAAACACAGGTCACAGAACTCGTGAATCTCATTAATTTATCACAGTAGTTTAAAAACAAGCTATTTCATTGTTTTAAAAAAAAATGGTACCACTAACCAAAATTTCAGAGGGGATATCAAGGAGATTAGTTCAGCAAATGTTTATCCCACATTAGGACTTCTTGCTAATAGTAAATTGAAAGCAGCAGTGTTATACTATATCAATATTAATATAGAGCCCATTAAAATATTATAAAAATCCTGTATTAAATTAAACATAGGAGCCTTCACCAAACTTGCTGCAAGTTTGGGGACATAAATATCCAACAGCTATAAAGCTGTGAAAGCCCCTAGAATGAATAAAATAAATCCCACTTGCCTCAGACTGAACAGGGCAACACTGAGACTCTGCCTCAGCCTGTCCTATGGCAGGGCTATAGGAAGAAGAAAATTTAAAATTTTAGAAAAACATGATCCAATTAAGGCTAAAAGTACATGCAATCAATAGTTAACAGAATTCCAGTGATCAAATGAACGTTTGGTCTCAAAATTTTAGGTCCATATGTGACATGGAATTTATAAATCAGTTTTGACTTCTCTAGGGAAAAATTTCCAATTGAGCTCACCTTAAAAATTGACAACTGCTATGTAACACAGTTGACAGGTGTTGTAAGCAATGGAGTATTCTGTACTAATTCAATAAAAGTTTTTAAAGGTTAGAACAACATCCATCTGCTTTTCAAAAATTTATACCACTTATGTAAGTAGCTAGACCGGTACAATTATTAAGACAATTGTGATATGTATTAATAAATGCCAGGATGCATTTAAATAAAAATAAAATCAGAATTCAAAATTATGTTCCCATAGTTCTTTTTCACTATGGCCAGTGAATTATTTATTTTATTTCAAATAAAAAAGCTACTTGTTATATTCTATACTGTTTGAACCCAGGCTACGGGAAAAACAAAATAAATAAGCCCTTATACGCTAAAAAAAAAAAAAAGTTTTACTCAGTATTTGAATTCCCCAAAATAAAAATAAACACCTTGCTTATCCCTTGAAGATGTAGTTGTTCTATTGTTAATTTTATAGTAGGAAACGCAATCTTATTTCCTGATAGAAACCATGTGGCCCTTTCCCAATCAGGAGACAAACAGATCTGCTCCTGGGAGAGGAAGAAAAGATCTACTGGCTCCATATTGCCCTCTCCCACTGAAAACAAAGTAAGTATTAACAAGCCAAGTATACAGTACAAGCAGAACTCAATTTTTCTGCAGTGCTAAAGGAACTGTCATTGGATGTTCTTGCTTTAACGGGAACAATACAACCACTGAAACAATAAAAATTCTTATCAGAATATGCTATAACTAAAAGTATATAGTTTTAAGTTAAGCAATTGACACTACTCGATTGTTTCCAAAGAACTCATGTGATATCAACCATGCTTCCAGAAAAACATTTTTGGTGAATCGTGTAAAAAATTTTCTATTACATTTGCAAGGTTCTTGGGAAAAAATCTCACAACCATCATATGAACTAAAAACAAACAAATGGCACAATCCAAAGAAGCTGTATGTATCCACAAACTTCACAGATAATAGCTATTTAATAAGCTATTTTTTAACTGAGGAATTGCTTGCCACATTAATAGAAGAATCTATATAAAGCAAGCTCCACATATCCCTGCTATTCTCATCCATGTGACCATATAAATTTTTTGGAAGGTGGTTAAGATATCTAACTACACAAAAACGTAACATAACGAAACAAAAAAATAAAAATAAACAGCCAAATGACCATGATTGTCTATTTTTATATCTTTGAATGATCAAATCAGAAAGACACATATTTAGAGTGCCAATTATACAGTTCTGCATTTGATGAAGAGTATTAAGGAAAAAAAGAGACATATATAAAGAATTAATAAGACTTTGTGAGTACCACAAAGCCCAAAATTTCAAATATGTACCAATAGTGTTGAAAAAACTAATTAGCAGTAATTCAGGCATTAATAATTGGTGGTATTAACATGTATAACTGCCACTGGAGCAGAAAAAAAAGAACAAAATATTTCATTTACAATATCAATTAATAAAGAATACTCAAGGATGTCTTCTTATGCCTGGCTCTCAAGGAAAGGTTTCATCACATTAGTATCAGATTTAAAACTAGAACATTAAAAATTTAAGACCTAAAGTATTTGGACAGTCTCCCAATATGCTACACCTTTTAACTTACAATCAACAGCCACTCATTGCCACCTTCTAAAGGGAAGAATTTTGTTCCTACTTTCCAGTTAAGTTTTATAAATGGGAATCACTCCACTTAAAGAACCAGCTGAAATTTCACACAGCAATTCCAGTATCCTTCGCAGAATGATCCTGTCATGTAGGCCTAACCCTCCACAAGTCTAGTAAATCACATCATAGAAGACATTATATTGGACAACTTCAGCTGTACTGTAGCTTTTAACTAGACTTTCCAATTTCTAAGCAATATCTTTCTCTACATCAGCATTGTTTTAAAAATAAGATTTTTAATATGACAAATCTATTAGTTTATAAACAATGACTGCACTATTATCTAATACCTAAGCTTTGTAAAATATTACTTTAAGAAACCTGAGTCAAAGTCTTGAACAATAAAATGTACTTCATAGAAACCAATGTATATCAACAACTTGTGACGAGCAAATTTTAATCAACTGAATGGCAAACCCTTAAAAATCCATGAAGAAAATTGGACAAATTTATTTGTTGTGTCTTGTTAATAAGTGTACAGGTCTATATCTACTTGATCAAACAATTCAGGAAATATCAATGTAGCATCAGGAATTGTATTGTATTTATTATACGACAAGCTATCGTAGCATGCATCAGTACAAACCTTCAGGCAGATGTCCACAGCTGGTCATGAATAAAAGGACAATTTTTTTCTTTTGTTTTATTACAATGAAGTTAAACAATACAGAAAATCACATGAATTTAGTGGGTCAATTCTATAAACCCTGGAACAGGAGGAACTCTACATTAAATATGGTTACACAATCCAGATTTAGGTATACAACTAGATGACAACAGTTAAAGCCCTCACCAAACTATTGTTGGGGACATGAAGTCCAACAGCACTTGAAGTGCTGTGAAGGCATCATTTATGAACAGCAACATAAGGTTACAGAACTTGCCTTTAAAGATGGTATGTTCATGTAATTCCAGCGCCTTCACAATTTAACGAACCATATTTACTATACTTCACTTCTAAAAACCTAGATGAAACATGAAAAAGAAGCCATACAGTATAAATTGCAACATCAGGGAAAGTTCCGTTTTATTATTCTAAATAATTTTTCCCATGTAAAATAATGTCCAACAGTTCCTTGTATGTGGAAAGATTTTTCCCCTAAAAGTCACAACGAAGTTTTAATTGATGGAAGCTTGGCTATATTAACAGCACAAGATGAGAAAAGGTTTAATCTCCAAACCTATTAGAACGTTTGCAGTAGCATCAGTAGCGGCCACCTTGCGACATTACAGGAGGTCTCATTCCCATTGGCGGTCTAGGAGGTCCACCTTGATAAGGAGGCACCATTGGGGGCCCTTGACCATATGGAGGCATTGCACCAGGAAGATACCCTGGCATGCCCTGGTGATGAGCACCATACTGACCTGAAAAGCAAAATTTGAAAGAATGAAGTTACATCTACATTAAGCAATATTGCTATTAGTATATGTCACTTAATTCCACAATTAAATACATTTCATGAGCTTCCAACACAGCTTAATTTGTTATTACCATGAGGTGGGATTGGTGGTCTCATTCCTTGTTGCTGGGGGGGAATTCCTGGCTGTGGTGGCATCATACCTCCAATTGGTCCAACTGGTGGATTGCCCATAGATCCCTGCCCTGGTCGAGGGAGATTACGCTGGTATTTGGGTAACTGAGCTCTTCTTTCTTCCTATGAAGGGAAACACACGGAGGATATCTAATCAGTGCAAAGTCAAAATAAGCGTCATTCTGAAACACAGATACAGTTGAGACACTCTTCTCATTGCAGTAGTTATAGTTCAAGGAAGTTCTAATGGATAAACTTTGGTAATCAAATCATATTAAGTAGATATCTATTCTAGGATATAAATTCAGTTTATGAAGTTCTATATTAATTGCTATCTCAATAAAAGCGGGAATTAAATATAGAATTAGTAAATCACCTGAACTCTCAAAAATGAAGCACTCCAAATATTACAAAGGATAGGCTTTGAGAATTAACCTGTTTTAACCATGGTAAATTATATGGGAAGTTGAAAACTTTTACTTAAGTTGTAATCTTATCATAAAGAAAAGGCATGGGGAAATTATCTTTAACTTACCAAGGATATATCCTCATCTGGATGGATCAACTTACTGGTTGCGCTGGTTGTTGTAAGAGTAGCAGGCTTACTTGTTATAGAAGTAGCAGGTTTAACTGCAGTACTATTTGTTGTATTAGTGGTGGATGCTGTAGATTGTGTGTAAGCAGGGAATGTAGGTTTGGGTGGTTCTGTAGAAGTTGCAGGTGCATTATTCAAAGGTTTGAAATCTGTACCAACTGGGCCTGGAACAGTCGCTTGAGCCTGTATTTAAAAATACAAAATTAAAATATAAGTATATTATCTTTTAAATAAACTTCATAACGTTTTCATATACTGATACAGCTAAATTAACCCAAAATAAAAATTCTATTTTATCACAAAAAAGGAGCAAACTAAAAATAAATAAATAAATCATACAACACAAACATATGCAAAGTTTGAGATGTCAAGAACAAATAGGAACAAACTATTTGTGTATTATACACCATATAATAAGATGTTTGTTTTTTCAAAATAAAAACAAATTTAATCTAGGAATATCAGCTGAGATAAATTAGTATTCAAGCAGAATGTTTAAGGCTGAACCTCAGGATGTCAACTTTTATGTTAAATTTGTTTAAAATAATCCCTTGTATAAAAATACATTGATGCTCTGAGACATCTCAAATTTTCACTTGCAGTTTTCAATTTTCCTGTCCTACTACCCATGAAAGCTATATTTAAGTTCAATGGGAAAGTACAAGTTTGAAAGGCTTTATTTATGCACAACAAAAGAGCTCTTAGTTTCACATATGACAGAATGCTTTCGCAAGCAAACAGCACATTATTTCGAACTAATCACTGAACTCCAAAACAAGACTAGGTAAGTTGGGATTTAGCACATGATGCATTTAACATTTAACACGATGTATCAAGAGTAGCATAAATTAGAAAAAATAAACCATGCATCAAGTAAACCACTGCCCACTAAATGCACTTAATTGCTTTCATGCTCTCTTTTTAACCCTTTAGAACCACAATGTAGAATTTAAATAATTTTATTACCCAATTATTATGCATGAATTCTCAGATTGCGCTGAACAACTAAACATAATCAGGAAACCACAATTATCTGACAATGTTTAGGTGGAAATTTTAAAGTATACATAACGGTTTAAAGGGTTAATTGGCAAAGCAATTTTTAACTGCAACTTCCTGCGTACTTGTGCTGTGCTAGGAAACAGAGCTTTAGAAGGTGCTGACAGTTCTGAATTGGATGAAGTTGTACTTGAGCTTGTGACAGGTGTCCCCATCTGTAGCACAAAAGAAAGGAAACAGTAAACAGTCTCCAAATGAATGCATAAAAATAACCAAGAGGGAAAAGCTCAGACTGATTTTTTTGTATATGAATAGGGATGCACATAAAATGTAACATGTTCTTTTGTTTTGAGCCTGAAAAAAAGCACCATGCATAAACTGTTCCAGGTGGGCTGTGGTTCAAGAAAAAGAAAAACATGATGTTTCCGTTGTTCCATGCTTTGGCTAAAATATACTAGCAAGGATTCTGAACGATTTTACAGGATGAGAAGAACAAGGCTAGTGTGTATTGCCTCCTCTTATTGTCCCTCCAGTAGCTCCCAACATGACACACGTCACCAGCCCCACCTATCTGTGGTCCTTGAAGCCCCTTTCCTGCCTTTTTAAACCCTGCTTCCTATTAACAACAGTGTTTCAATCCTTATCTGGAACAAACAACAGCATTTCATTCCATTCTCAGACCAAACATAACATGTTTTGGTTTGGACACGAACTATTCCAAACCAGATGTTTGGGGCAGTTTTTGAGTGAACCTTCTACACAGAACCCTAGAGATTCTCTCTCTTGCAGAACTTCAAAAGTTCTGCTTGCAAGTCAACAATTATAAAACAAAAACCTTCATTTATAATCCAAATAGAAGACATAACTCATCCATTCTCAATTCCGTTAAAGAGCTGGTACTACTTTTAACTTGCAAAAATAATTGTTACTTTAGATTTTAAATAGTTAATATACCATATGTAACAACTATTTTCTTCTCCAGTATCAACATATAATTTATTTTAAGTCAGTATAAAAAATGCAGAACAGAATGCTCTGCTTTCTTCATTTTTATAAGAACAAAACACGTTTTTAAGGATAATAAAATTGCTATTAAATGGGTATTAGAATTATTTCCTGAATATGTGCTAAAGAAGATGTTACTTATTCTCTTTACCTATCATCCTGCCCTCCCTTCTGAGTTTGGACTGACAGAAGTATTTACGTTCTTCGCAGAAAAAAAAAAACTAGATGTAAATAGGAAAACTTTGACAAGAATACAGCATATATAAAACGCAATACGAAGTATGAGATAATACCATTTGGCAATTTTGGTTGTTAACACACACCACTGTTTCTGAATCGCAATTCACTATTTCAACATATATGAAAAGAAAGAAAATTAATGCACTGAAGCTTTTTGGCAATTAGATGTTCAAAAACTTACTTGTCCAGCACTAGGAAACAATGGTTTGGTAACTGGTGGTTGGGGAGTTGGTGCTGCAATGACAGGAGCTGGTGGTCTATTAAGAACACCTGGACTAGTCACTGGCTGGGCTTGTGTCATTGGAGGCATTCCAGGGCGAGGACCAACAGGTGGTGGCATACCTGTAGCATAATGATTTCTGATTAAGCTTTGGTGAAGATTTTGTTAATACCACAGTCAAGATCACAAACACTGACTTTCCGTCAGAGGGCTAACACATCAGACAATGAAGCATTAAATGCAGAGATATACTTGGTAAATGTTGTTTAGATTGAGCAGAACTGCTAGGTTTATAGTTAAGGCAACTGATCTAAGGACCTGTTATATTGAGCAGATTGGACTATCCTATAAAAATGATGCATTTGCTTGAATATTGATTGTATTCGCCACATATGCATTTTATTACTGTATTTTCTTTCATCTATTTTACCCTGGAATTAGATCCTGTCTTTTATCTTTGTTTTAAATTTTTGATATGATTGTAAGACTAATCAGTCTATCTACTTGATAACAAGGAGAAGAAAGTTTTGAGAACTTTCACTGGAAAATCTATCCTGAATCCCTGAGAGACATGTCTTTTGTATGGGCCCAGTCACAGGAGGAATGCAAAGGATATTATCCCTGGCTGGGATTTAGATTCCGAATGCTTTTAACATATCAATTTTAATTTAATCACTGAAAAACTGTAATCTTTTATTTATTAGAAGATAACATTTGGAGAAGAAGCAGAGGTGGCGCAGCAGTTAGAGTGCAGTACTGCAGGCCACTTTAGCTGACTGTGTTCAGCAGGTCAGCGGTTCAAATCTCACCGGCTCAAGGTTGACTCAGCCTTCCATCCTTCCGAGGTAGGTAAAATGAGGACCCAGATTGTTGGGGGCAATGTGTGTGTGTGTGTGGTGTATATATATATATATATACATATATACATATATATATATATATATATATATATATATATATATATATATATATATATATATATACACACACACACACACACACACACACACACACACACACATTGCTTACTGGTGTACACCGCTTAGAGAGTGCTTGCACTTAAAGCGGTATATAAGTCTCATAAATAAATAAATAAATAACATTTATTTATATAAAATATTTTTAGGCCTCCTTTAAGGGCAAACCCTTCCCAGGGTGAGAATCTATCACATTTTCTAATTCCCTGGAAACAATGTTATTATTCTTTCACCCCATGGCTAAATGTATCTATTCTGAGAACATGCTGAAACTACTTGTATATTACAATGGCTTACAACATTACCCGAATAAAAATAACATAGCATAAAGACAAATTGAGTAAACAATAAAATATGTAAATATACACTAAAATTATTAAACAATTCAAGCAGCGATAAGAATTCCCAAAAATATTTTATAGAGAAATGTTACAGAGAAATGCATGTGCAAACTAGTCCTTATATTAATAGCCCATTCTTGGAAGCAGATTTTTTTTTTACATTTTTGAAGGATCAAATTAACTTGAACATCAACATTTAATACAGGTTCTTTTGGAACTATTCCAAAGTCTTCAGCCAAAAGAAAAAGGGCTTTCACGTTTCAATCAAAAATGAAAGCTTATGGGTTAACAGAAATTTATCAGTCAACAGAGCAGGATGGGAAAAGCTCCTGTCTGCAGTCGGCATTGCCTGCACTTAAGACATTTTTGTTCCTGTGCACCTTCTTTCTAATTCCCATGAACAGCTGCTCTCTGTCCCTGTCTTTTATCCCAGAACTGTAGCAACCTTAGATCCAAATGAAAAAAGTAAATAGCTCTCACCACAGTATGGATTCGTCATTCCTGACCTACCTGGTGGCATACCAGGCATGAGAGGTGGGATTCCTGGTCCTGGAGGCATCATCCCACCCATTGGCATCATCCTGTAAAATTGAAAGACTCTGATGAGACCTCTGAAAAAGAATGGTACTCTGGGGTATTAAAATGTCCTGAGGATTTTTACCAGCTGAGCAATGTAAATACCTGCCTTCAAATAACTTTGGCTATATCAGATTTTTAGCACACCTTCCTGCCTTAATTCAAATACAGCAGAGCTATCATAATCCAATTCTTTTTGGAAAGAGTAGCCTATACAGTTCGGTAGCCAGTTTGGTCTAGAGTTAATGTGCTGGCCTAGATACCAGAAGACCATGAATTCTAGTCCCGCCTTAGGCATGAAAGCCATCTGTGTGACTTTGGGTCAGTCACTCTCTCTTGGCACCCAACCCACCTCACAGGGTTGTTGCTGAAGGGAAAATAGGAGGAAGAAGGTGTATGAAGCATGCTCATTCCCTTGGATTATTTATAAAATATTAAAGGTGGGATAAAAAAAATCACAATAAATAAAAAATATCCATGCCTGCAAAAGCCAGTATTTTGAGTTAAAAATATAAGAAATAATTGTCTATCTACTTCTTTACTTGATTTCAGTGTCCTTCCCATTCTCTTCTAGGTAATGACAGAACCCAGTAACACAGATGAGTGGCTATCCCCCATTAACCTTACTCACAATTCAAAATACTATGAAAGTCTTAGCAGTTAGAAAAACTACATTGGAAAACACTACTGAACATTCCTGAAAGAATAAACAAGTGATGTCCTGATCAGTTAGGACAGGATTGCCAAATCACCAATTGTGCAGCTTGTAAAACAAAGCCCCACAGGTGAAGTAAATCAAATGAAAGCATAAAGCAGGCTATTGCCTAAACATCGATCACACTTACCCAGGTGGCATTCCAGGCATGACTGGAGGCATTCCTGGCATCATTGGTGGAACACCTGCCATTAATGGTGGTATACCTAGAAGTCAGAATGTATAATAACTGGCCTGTAAATGAACAGTCCATTTTTTTTAGTGGATAAACATATGTGAAACTCTTGACCATTTTCTTTAACTTATGAAGCCATGGAAAACTAACAATTACTACAATCTATTGGATTTTGTCATTAGGTTTTCTAGTGTTAATTTAACTGTTTATGAAATGCTCAAAACTACCATCTGCTCCCTGTATATTTTACCATGCTCAGATACCACTCTGTAAAGACAATCCAATTCCAAAAAGCAGGGGAATGCCTACTGACCACGTTAACATGTTTTGTAGCAACCAAATCAAAAGTCTTGTAAGATAAATACCTATTTTTCACTTTTAAGAACACATTGAGAACTAAAAAAAAAGCTAGAGGAGTCTCTGAGGACAGATGGAAGCAAAAGACATTACTTCTCTAATTTAGATTTAATCCCCACTGAACATTTTCTGGTTCTTATATGTTAAGTAAGAAAATTATTAACATAACTAAAATACAGTAAAACATCACTATGCTGGTTCAAAATAATATTCTATTATAGTCTTTCATATTAGTAAAAAAAATTCTAAAACGGATGTAATTATTTCTACCTGTATAACTACCTGGAGGAATTCCAGGTGCACCTGGCACAGGAGGTAAACCTGGCTGTGCCATTGGTGGTATATATCCCTGCTGTGGTTGCACAGGCTGTGCTTGAAATGAGGTGGAAGCTGAAGACTCATCATCGTCATATTCATCAGAATCATCTTGTTGTTTCTTTTTCTGGCTTTCTGCTAATAGTTTCAACATTCAGGTTAGTGCTGTGTCACAATGCTGTGTTACAAAAAGTAACCATTCTTTTTAATATAATTATATTTCTATATTGTAAGATATTCCAGCACAAAAGAATAAATAATCACAAACATTTTGAGCAAGATCCCTTTCAAAACCATTTAAATACTCGTTTTCCCCCATTTCACAGCAAAATCAGCCCAACGCATCTGTTAGTGAAATCAAAACCAGTACATAGTTACTAAACATCTATTATGCCCATTTTTGGGTGAGTTATTCCATATGGGCAGCAAATAAAGCTGCAAATAACATATCCCTGTTTTCCAACAGGGCATTCATCACCACTGTAACTGAATCCACCCATTTTTGCTGTTGATCATCTTCTCTTTCATCTCTGTTTGCAATACAGCCTTCTCCAAAGAATTATTTCCGAAGTACGATAATTTGAACTTGGTTACCAACACACAATACACTCCCTATCCTTCAAGTCAAACTTTCGCTTCCGTAGAGCGTTATAGGGAATATCATTGCTTGCACTATTCAGTTGTTTGTAGGTATAGGCATTTCATAGCATTTGAATATCTTATCCATGGACTTCATAGCTACTCTACCAAGTGCTAGCCTGAAGCAAATTTCTTCACTATTTGTTCCTTTACTGTTGATCTTAAAAGGCAGAAACTATTCACCACTTTGATATCTTCATCACCATTTCTAAGGTTGGTCGTTCTCCCTGTGGTCATTAGTTTCATCTAATTTCTATATTTTCCATGTAAATGTTTTTGAATATGTTGCAGCAACACAACTACAATGAGACTGAATGGTCTGTCTAATCAAAGAGGGATCATGTAGCAAAGGTTCAGTATAAATATCATAGTGCTTCCATTTACCTTGAGTTTTTTGTTCAAGCAGCCTTCTCCTTTCATCCATGTCTTTTTCAGGAATGCCTTCCATACCATATATTTCCAGTTCAATATCAGTTCTTCCTGGTATTGCATTTGGAACAGCATCAATTGTTTCCTTATGTACCTTAAGAAAGAGAAATCCGAGAAATCCAAGCTAATGTAAACAGGATGTATATTAGAGACTATAACTATAGAGCTTTAAGTTTAGATGTCCCATTTAGCTATGAAGCTTACGAGATTCAATCACAATATCTTAATTTAATGTTAAAATTAAAAGATAACCCTTTCCTGGTTTAGCTACTACTAACAGCAGGAAGAGCCATAGCTTCCTTAAGTTGCTATCAACAGTTAGAACAAACACGCTAACATTGTTAGTGTTCTCAAATCTTTTTCAACTGGGATTTGAATATTCTAGCTTTTGTTTTCTTGAACAATTCTGGAAATCTGCAAATCAATTCAAAAATGTTTGGACCACATTCTAAAAGAAAAACAGAATCTACAGGTACCAAATCACGCCAGGATGGGACATTCTATATAACTTGTCTTTCACTTTTATTAATGGATACTTTCAAAACTTTAGGTGACACCTCTCCATATATACCTATTATCAATTTTGCTTATTTTCTGATCAAATAACTCCAATCTTCTACTGATGCAGTCATTCTTATAATGTGGGTAATCTTCGACTTTAGCTGCTGTTATGATGAACCCCAAAAAAGGTATATACGATCTTGATTTGAAGTTCTGCTAACGCTCCATTCATATTTTGGACGTTTGGCATTTACTTCCAATTTCTGGCAAAAAACGCCTGCTGAACAATGGGTTTATTTAACAATCATGGTGAGTTGCTTAATAACCCATAGCAAAAAATGTTGTAGAATGAAATGGGCCACATGACCCACTTAACAACCAGCATGACCAAGGACGCTAACTCTGGGTTCTAGTACAGTCATTAAGTCAAGGACTACTTGTACATCAAAGGCATTTGTGAATAACAAATTACTAAAGCTTTCATTTTTTTAAGAATATAAAGATTATAAAACAAAAGTATATATAAACAATAACACAAATAATTCTATATATGTGGGTATATTATGGTACTTACCTGCATACAGTGTATAGCTAAACCAGGCCCAGTATACAGTTTCTTATGACATATATGGCATTTAAAGTGCTTTGCTTTTTGGTGCTGAATAAGAATTTTCTCATCATCAAAATCCCTATTACAATACCTATTCCACATTGTTAAAGAAGTCAAACATATAAGTTAAACTTAAGCCTGTATGTTAGTCAACATTGCTATAATCAGTTTTAAAGAAAGCTATAAAGGTAACCCATTTCTAATTTTCAATTACTTTTATAAATCAGGATTTCACAAATCTGATACATTTTCTCACCAGGAAAGGCAACTTACAAAGTTACTAACTTATGAAGTGATTCTAAAGGTTGAATCATGGCAACTAGACCAAACTTTGTTAATTTGAGATGTTCCACTGCTCATTCAAGCAACTTCATCAGTCAGAGCAAAACTGGCTAGGCAGAGTTAGAGAGTTGTTAGAATGCACCAACTCTTGCCAAATCAACTTCAGGGGTTTCTCCTCCAAATGGCTTGCAATGTGTCAATAAAGACTCAATCATCCAGGCCAAAGGTGTATAAAGTGACTATAACTCCCATGTTAAATGATAGGATGAGGAATTTTCAAGGTTAGAACCCCACAATTTTTTTATGTGCTGAATAGCCAAGCATTGTTTACAATATATTACGCACATATGTTCTTTGCCCATACTACGGGGTTTGGGATAAGGGAATGCCATGCTGACTCTCTTAACATACAGAAGTAACAATATTGTTTCTCAACCTGTTCAACTGTACTGTTGGTTTTGCTTTTTTGAAAAAAAAAGGACAGTCAGCTTATATTCAAGAGTCACCTTATCTGGGAAATGGATAGCATATAAATTTGTGTGTGTGTGTGTGTGTGTAAAGCTACCACAAAGTAAGAACAAAACTATCCAATACTAATAAGCGTCATGCCACTTTCTCAACTTAAGCTACCGAGAGGAAAAGAGAAATAAAATCTAGGTATCTGGCAAACATCCAGCAAATACAGGCTACAGTTTCGGCCTACTATACCAGCACGATATCCACAATTTAACAAAATATGCCTTTTGTATCCATAAATATTAGGGCAAATAGTCGTAGGGCGTTAAGGTTAGCGACGGCAGCAGTCCATACTGTAAGAACGGATATACTGCTGAATAAAAACACGCACGCACACACAAAAAATCTAACCTATTTTCTCTTGAATACAGGTGTACAATTTCTAATTTCCCAGATGGAGCAGGAACAAAGGGGGTGGGGCGTGAATCCCAAAAGGCGGCAGCTCTGAAGCTCTTGAAGGCTACGGCTCTGGAGCCGAAGAAATCTGGACTATTATATGGCATTGAAAAGCGAGAGCTTTTTGAAACGTCTTTCCTGCCGTCGCCCCCTCCCCTCAATAAAATAGGCCGCCGAGGCGTTCCAACATCAGAGGAAAGAGGCCGCTACCCGAAGCAGGCCAGTCGGGCCTCCCTCCCGATTTGAAACGAGAGGCAGCGGCCCTCCGCGTCGAAAAGGATACCAGCACCAAGGCTTTAGCTGCTTCTTCTTCTTCCGACCCATGGCGGAAAGGCAACGGCTCGGCCGGCAAAAACCTCCAAAAACAGCGAATGTGATGGAGCGCGATCGCCGACCGCGCGAACTCCCCTCTTCTCCGCTTCCCAGCCAGGCATAAAATGGCCGCTCCTCCGCCGAATCCCTCGCCTTCCCAAAATGCAACGCGGGGAGGGGGGCACGTGTATGGTCGAGGAGACCTCACCAATTGTGACGTCACCCGTTCTTTCCCGGCATGCGGTGCAGCGGAAATTCTCTAGTTGCGCGCGTCTTGCCCGCGTGGGTTGGTTTTTGTAGGTGTTCTTTCCCCTTAGCGATTCTTTTAAAACACTGAAGTTTACTTCGGGAGAGAGATGCGCAGGAGGCAACCAAGCTCAATATCCTTGTCCTAAAATTGTTGCTTGCCATTCTTTAGTTTAGAAATAATGATGACTTTCATGTTCCTTTCATCTGAATAAAATTGTTTCTGCAAATGAATCAGATTCTTCCAGCTGGATGAGATCTTTTTTTAAAAAGCAGCGAGGAGGCCGCTGCATCTTCGAAGGCTTATGTAGCTCAATCTTGTCAGTGCGTGCTAGGAAATAAATCCCCTTAAGATTCAATGGAAAGCTAACGGTATTATAATTGAACATTGAGGAAAATCTGTGGCGTTCTGAAACAGCATTAAGTTAGACAAGGACTAATTTAACAATTTGACCGTCCCATCACATATATGCCTATTTGAGTTCTACTGAAATCAGTAATTCGTCTGTAAATCAAATCAATTTGTTATAGCCCAAAGGTCAGAAGTAAACATAAGCAAGTTTACAATTAGAATGACTTTTATTTAGACAAATCGTGAATGTAATCCCACTGATTTCAGTGACAATAAGCTAATGCCGATCCAATGCAGCGTGCTGAGCCGATTTTTAAAAACTCCGTAAAATTGGGGAATAAATGTTAACTGAACCAAGGCGAGTCTTGAAGAGACACGTGTGTGTGTGTGCGCGCGCGCGCACGCGCGCGCACGCGCGCCTACAACATCCTTACAATTTCAGGAGTCCACGGCTGCCTCTGTCTTTTGTCGGCCGTGACAACGTGTTTGTGACCGGAACCTTTGTGACGCTATGTGGACAGAATGCCGAGCCGAGAAGAATAGAGCGTTGCGCTGTACGGCCATAGGGGGAACGGATTTTCTTTGCTTCGAATTCGCAAGCAAAGATGTTGCCTTCCCTTCAGGAGTCCGTAGACGGAGATGAGAGAGAGCTGGAGAGCAGCGAGGAAGGAGGCGGCTTGCCTGAGGAACCGAAACCGGAGCGTAGCAGCAACAGTTACCACTGCTTGTACGGCTACCGAGGCTCCGGGTAAGAGAGCGGCGGCTGCTCCGCCGGGTCCCTGCAGGCTTTCTTCTGCTCTGTGTTTCCAGCCTGAACCATAAAAGGCTGCAGATCTCTCTTACCAATCCTTCATCGTGTTTTATGATAATCCAGCCTTTCCGAATCTGGAGGCCTTGGATGAATTCATTCCCGCAGTCCCACCCCGTTGGCTGAGAGCGATGGGGCTTGTTATTCAATTCATCTGGGGTTCACCGGATTAAATGTTTGGTAACAGTAAAAATGGTTGATCGAATAAATCCAACAATTACTTTAGTCCAGTTTCTACTTTCCATCTGTGATCATGTAGAAGGTTATGTCTGCTCATGAAATCTAGCCTCGATTTTTCCTCCCAGGGACATTGATTTTCCTTCAAAGGACTATTATGCATGTTTCCAACCAATACGGTCCTGAACTTTCTTTTGCCAATTGGGCCTACAGTATTTGCTTATGTCATGGATCCATCTTGTTCTGGGTCTCTTGTGGATGCTTTTTATCAAGTGGGATCCATTCTATGACTGCCTCAGTCCACCTGCCTTTAGTTCTTCTTGCTGTGTGGCCAGCCCATTTCCATTTCAATTCTTTTACTCCCTTGATGGCATCATATACTTTTGTTTGTTCTCTAATGATCCATGTGCAGATCTTTCTATCTTGTCTTGTGATGTTGGAAACATGCGGAAGAGGCCTTCATCCTGCAATGGATTGACAATGACTAAAATGATGATGATGATGATGCAAATGAGAGCCAGTTTGCTGTAATATAGTGGTTAAGGCTTCAGGCTAGAAACCAGGAGATCATTAGTTCTAATCCCATCTTAGATACAAAGCCAGATGGATGACCTTGGACCAGTCCCTATGTTAAGCTCTAGGAAGCAAGCAATGGCAAACCACTTCTGAAAAACCTTGCCAACAAAACTGCAGGAAGTTGTCCAGGCAGTCTTCAAAAATCAGACACAACAGAAAAAAAATTGCTACTAAAGGAGGTCTGTCAACAGATGAATTTATCTAATGAAACTCTTCTGGATTGTTCAGGGGCTGTTCAAAACAAGGTGCCATTTGCCCATTGTGAATCCAAAGTACTCCTAGAGTTGTCTATTCAATTCCCAGAAATCCCAATCTGCTCTTCCCATTCCAGGTTTTAATTCCCTCTCCCTTAGAACAATGATAGTAATAATTATAGGTGTTCAAGTTTTCTAAAACCACATGCATTTTGTCTTGACATTCATAACTAGTTTGACTTTTTCAGATTACACCAAGGAACAGGCAGTGATGTTGGGAGTCCAAGCAAATCGTCAGCTGAAACACCTTCAGATGACTTCAGGTAAATGAACTTGGCAGAATGATTTTGCGTGCTGTATCTTAGATTGTTATAATAGAGGGCTATGTGCATATGATTTGTTCCCATTAACTGTTTTTAATTGTTACCAAATGTAACTTGATGCATTATGAATGCACAAGTGAATTCTTTCTGGATCTGATTTAAGGCTGTGCTTTTGTTCTAATTTCTGAATAGGCTGAGGGCCAACTATCTGAGTATTTCCCTAGCTCATTGTAAACTGTTTGTTTAAGGTTAGCTGGAGTATCTTGACAAAGATTTCTTACTTTCCTAGGCCGATTTGTCAAGCATGTGGAATTGCACTCATATCCCATTCTTTCTATAATGAGATGGTAGAAGCAATAATGATGTGATAAACATCTCAGAAGGGACCACCCCAGTTATTAGGGAGGAGGAAGAGATGTACTTTCAGACTAGCAAGATTCTGATGATATCACCTTACAATAAAATTGTAGCCACTACAGGTAGTTCTCGACTTTCAGCCGTTCATTTAGTGACCGTTCAAAGTTACAATGGCACTGAAAAAAGTGACTTATGACCGTTTTTCACACTTATGACCTTTGCACCATCCCCTTAGTCACGTGATCAAAATTCAGACACTTGACAACTGACTCATATTTATGACGATTGCAGTGTCCCAGAGTCACATGATCACTTTTTGAGACCTTCTGACAAACAAAGTCAATGGAGAAGCCAGATTCACTCAACTACCGTATTACTAACGGTAATACAGTTACTAGCGATTCACTTAACTGTGGCAAGAAAAATCGTGAATGGGACAAAACTCACTTAACAAATGTCTCAGTAACATAAATTTGGGGTCCAATCGTGGTCGTAAGTCGAGGACTACCTGTACTTCTGGGTGTGCTTCTTACCTGGAATTCCTCAGAAGGCTGACATCTGTCTTGCAAGTCTCAAAGGGCTTCTCTCCCCATTGTCTTTACCATCCAAGAAACTAGAGAGGGAGCCTTTTGAGATGTTTGTCATGCCCATGTTGCTTCTGTGGGCTAAGCTGCCTCTTACCTGACTGTTGTCACTTCTGCAGCTCTTCCTCTTTCTGTCTTCTGACAGTTTCTTTATGAATCTAAGTCCAGCCCACCTTGAATTCTGTTGACTCTTATCTATCACCAATTTGTTTTGACTGTTAGTAGTTCAGATTCTTGTGGAGAAGAACATTGGCATACAATTCACCTATGTTCATTTGAACTGCCTGGATTCCTTATTTCCTGCGCTTGACAAATAAATATAAAAAGTATGAGAACTCATTAATATATATATTTTTATGTATTTCCCAGCCTGGAAGAAATTTATCAACATTCTAAGAACAGATAGTTAAAAAGAAGCGAACTAATTTTATTGCTACTATTACAAATGCAACTCCTGTTCCTAGTATGAGCAATGAATAAGGATATTATAGAAAGGAGGGGAGGAGACCAAATCAAGGAAAATTTAGTTGAGAAGTTTATGGTCCTCAGTTCTATGCTTTCATTCCTGTCAGTGATTCATGCACATTGAAACATATGGAGTTGTACCATAGTTCAAATGACTGAAGCGTGCAACTTTGTGGCTCTTGGTTTTATTACAAGTAGTGTTTTGATTGTTTATTTAAAGGGGACATGCCTGGAACTTCATACTCAACTGGAAGTTGTATCTTTTTCTTTGAAAGTTTGACAATTATTCTCAAGTACTAAGGACTGGTCTATAACTAAATAGATACAACGAAAGCTCTATCTTACCTAATCATGGTTTTTTGTTTTGTTTTTATTTCATTTATGAAGCCTTTCATTGGTGGACACTAATTTACCAGCTGAAGCTGAGATGGAATTGCGCAGTTTGGTTGCCAAGCATCTTAACAAAGGAGCTTTGTTTGAGGGGATGGGCAATGTTGTAACTGTCGAGTTGAGGTAAGGCTGTAGATATGGATTGGGACTTCCAGTGATATCAAGCAATTTTAATTAATTGTAGATTTCTTAATAAATTAGCGATACCATTTTTTTTTTACTAAATTGTGTGTAAACAAAATGGGAATGTCGTTTTAAGTTTTGTTTTACGAGTCAGAGATTAAACAGTGCTATTTCTGAATTGTCTCATCCTTGTCATGCCTTTGAAGTGTTGGCTGCAGAACAAAATAAAACAAGCTCTTCTCCCTCCCAGCTCAAAAAACTTTTCTGCCTTTTAGAGTGGCTTTCTGGTCCTGATCCTGTGGTATTTTTAATATCGGTCCAACTAAACTAAGTTATGGAAATTACAGGTAGTCCTAGACTTACTACCACAATTGAGGGCAAAATTTCTGTTGCTAAGTGAGATCGTTGTTAAGTGAGTTTTCCCCGTTTTTGTGGCCTTTCTTGCCATAATTGTTAAGTGAATCACTGCAGTTGTTAAGTTAGTAACACAATTGATAAGTGAATCTGTCTCCCCCATTGACTTTTGTCAGAAAGTCTCAAAAGGTGATCACATGACCCCAGGATACTGCAACTATCATAAATATGACTCAGTTGCCAAGCATCTGAATTTGATCACATGACTACGAGGGTGCTACAGCGGTCATAAGCATGATAAAACAGTCATAAGTCACTTTGTGCCATAACTTTGAATGCTCACTAAATGAACTGCTGTAAGTTAACTATTTGTATTCATATACATACTCATTATCTAAGCTCTTAATGACAGCTTTAATAACTGTAAAATTAAGGGTTTCAAGAGCGTAAGCTTACAAAAGACAATATGCATATACTCTGAATTCTGAACTATAAACTTCATCTCACTATTATTCAATGAATGTTCTCTTCATCAATGAAAATAGGTGGAATAAGCTTATACTGAACTCTGATAGTGAGCTAGGTGCCTGGCAATGTATTTAATGTTTACATTTAATAGGAGTGTGAATACATATACCACTGCAAGGGCTAGTCCTTTGGAGGGAGGGGGCTTGACTTTTGTGTATCATTAAATAAATATAGGATCTAGTGCAAAGGTCTTCAAACTTGGCCCTTTTATGACTTGTGGACTTCAACTCCCAGAATTCCTCAGCCAGTGTGCCTAGCTGAGGAATTCTGGGAGTTAAACTCCACAAGTCATAAAAGGGCCGAGTTTGAAGACCCCTGATCTAGTGAATCTAAGGGCTTGTAATCACCACACATGAAGCACCACAACTAGTTAAGGCAACTTCTGGTCCTCTAGAGGGTGCTGCACTAAAACTCTGAACATTTTGCCTCACTGGCTGTGCTGGCTGGTATTGAGCGGATTAATATTTTAGCAACACCCGATGGAAGGTGGCAGGTTTCCCAACCAGGAAGTACAAGAGCATTGGTTAATTGTTGCATCACACTGCCAGCCAGGCAGAGGGCTGTTGCATCAGAATTGTGTAGATGTTTCCTCATGTTGTAATACTTCAGGGTGGAAGGCTGGAGTGCTCAAAGCTACAACTTAATCTCCCAGTCAACCATAGGTCAGTGTTCAAATGGGCAAAATGAAAATATTTTCTGCAGTTTTTGCAGAAATTAGGATGGGCTAAAAATGGAAACAAGAGTAGGAGGTTTCCGGCAGGCAAACCCACTCTTATCAGAAAAACCAGTCGAAATTGCGGTTTCAAAGGAAGAGCCCTCCCTTCCTTCCCTTAAAAAAAAAAGTACTGAGTTGTTTTGTCACTAAAATGGATGCTGCAGTGTTAGAAATGGGATGCTGAAGTTTACAGATTGCCCACCCCTGCTGTACAGCTCTGTTTAAAAGGAACTCCCGATTTAATGGGGCTATTCCCAGGTTAATGAACTACTATATATGTGATTAGAGCCTAAATCAATTTTGAAGTATTGCCTATTGTGTGCTCTTTGCAGTTTTTTGGAAGGGCTGAACTTATTAAGAATAGCACAGCTAATACTGGTGCCTGATCATCCTTGAAAAGCTAAGGAGGGTCAGAAAGAGATAGGACTTGGATCCTGAACAACCAGGAACTGCTAAGCTAGAGATGAGTCTGGGAATTGGAAGGCAAGAGCAAATTACATTCATAGTATTGTCGAGAAAACAAGAAGAACTTATCCGGCAGAAATAGTCTTCAAGAGTATTTTTCCTTTTGCTTTCCTGAGAATATTTAACAACATTTAATTCATCTGATCAGTTTAATGACCCTTTCATCCCTTAAAAAGGCACATATTGAGTTTGGTTGGAAAACTTGTAAATAGAGGGAAGGGTCCCAGCAGAAATTATCAGCAGACTCTGCTACCCACCCTACATTTCTTCCTGGAATACTAGACCATGGAGCCATGAATTCCTCATCTCATCTCTCTCTGTTTTAATTAGTCTTCCATTCATACCATTCTTTGATCCGCTGAATTTTAAAAAGCAGGCTAGAAGGCAGGAATAATCTCTTCCAGGGACTAGATCTAGCCAGAGAAATGCTAAATGACAACCCCACCCAAATGCATTGAGAGTTAGCAATTTTTGGTTTCTAAAACACTCATTTTAGCTATGTTTTATTTTTATTTAATCCATTTCATGTTTATAGACTACAGGTAGTCCTTGACCTATGACCACAATCTAGCCCAAAATTTATGTTGCTTACTAAGGGAGGTAGTTATCAAATGAGTTTTGCTCCATTTTGCAACTTTTTTTGCCACAGTTCTTAAGCAAATCACTACAGTTGTTAAGTGAATGACATGGTCATTAAACGAATCCAGTTTCCCCCATTGACTTGGCTTGTCTGAAGCCAGCTGAGAAGCTTACAAATGATGATCATACGACCTCGGGATACTGCAACTGTTATAAACACTTGCCAGTTGCCAAGCAACCAAATTTTGATCACATGACCGTGGGGATGCTATGATGATCATGAGTGTGAAAAACGCTCATAAATTGCTTTTTCAGTGCCATTATAACTTCGAACAGTCACTAAACGAATGCTTGTAAGTTGAGGACCACCTGTACACAGGAATAGCAGGCGAGTGATTTGGCTTTCCATTCACCAGCACTGGTCTGAGGTAGAATCAAGAGGCTGACAGAAATATGAAGCAAAGTGTATTGACTGGAGTTAATGTAGATTCTTGCCTCTGGAGGTTGATTCTGACTGAATTAAAATAAGGGTTTTGTTTGTAATGAGACTGATGAACAGGTAAACCGGAGTGTGAAATACAGTGTTAAACTGATTTGGTGCAACCACCCCTGTGATTAATTCAGTATTCCAGAAACTCGAGTTGGTTGTTATTACTGCCTGTTCCAGCCAGAAAAATGTGCGGAAGGAGCTGATCCTGAATCGAGAGAGACTCCCTTGGAGTATGTTATCTGTTTTTTGGGAGGCTCAGAGAAGGGACTTGAACTATATCCTTTTACTCTTATTTCTGTCTGCGTTAAAATGGGAATGAAGTAGGAAAGTCCTTTTTTTAAAAAAAATTCCCATTGTTCTGATTGTTCTCTTAAATTAGGCCAGAGTTCATACACATTCCCAAATTATTTTTTTTAGACTTCTGAGAATATCGGTTATACTCTCCTTATCTTTTCGTAAGGGCCTAAAGCAGAGGTAGGCAACCTTGGTTCTTTTATGACTCATGGATTTCAACTCCCAGAATTCCTGAGCCAGCCATGCTGAGGGGAAAGGGAGAGGTTTCCAAGCTGAGCCATGCCGGGTGAGGAATTCTGGGAGTTGAAGTCCACGAGTCATATAAGAGCCACCTCCTCCACACACACACTTCATCCCACCCTCCTCATTGGATTTTAACATTTTATGTTTTAACTAAGAAGTACCTGTAAGCCGCCCAGAGTTACCCGATGGTAAGATGGGCAGCCAATAAATTTTATAAATAAATAAATAAATAAATAAAAATATCTGGATGTTTAAAATATCTTCAGCAGACGTGCAGCACATCAATTATAAAATGAGTTAAACGAAGATTAGGCAGAACTGAAGCATTATTTCCTTAAAAGTGATACATTCAGACTTGAGCTTGATGGATACATTCAAGATATGAAGACTTATTTAGATTCAAAGGTAAGTCTTGATGAATAAATTTGAATTTAATAAAGTTTGAATGACTTCTTCAGTTTTTCTCTTCCCCCCCCCCTCAGAAGATGGAAAACGTTGGTTGCTTTATGAGCAGTTTGTCAAACTGAGATGCTTGAACTTATTTTGAGTTCCCTGTAAAGATCCCTGATCAGAATTGTTTATCTAGGATAAGGAAGGCTAGCTGAAGAAGACAAGTTCATTTTCATGATCCTCAATCACTTAAGGAGGTATTAGAGGAATCTTGATTAAAGAAGCTTTACCTCACTTCCCAGCCATTGCTGTGCTCTAGGCCTGTTTTCTGTGCATCTGCGTGGTAGAGTAGGAAAGGGATCTGGCATTTCCAAGTTACTTAGAAAGAAACTAGATTCGGTTTCAAGTTCAAGACAGAAAATTGTTTGCTACCTTGTAGTTGGAAGAGAAACAGGCTAATCTGACTGTTGAGTCTCCTGCATCTCTTAGCGGTTTCCAGTATTATCTGTATGGTGTCCCTCTAGTGTTCATGTTGCTTGAGAATTGAAACATTGGCCTTCAAGAATTTTGTTTAGAGTTTATAGTTATTCTGTGGGGATCAAGCTCTTTATGAGCGTAATCATGTGGAGAATCTCAAGATTGTCGTACTTCTTACTATCTCTGTGAAAATATTGGACATCATTCAAGCTAAGGAGTGCTGTGTCACCCACATGCCACCAACAGCCGTGGTGATGCAGTGGTTAGAATGCAGTATTGCAGGCTGACTCTGCCGACTGCCAGCAGTTCGATCCTGACCGGCTCAAGGTTGATTCAGCCTTTCATCCTTCTGAGGTAAAATAAGGACCCAGATTGTTGGGGGCAATATGTTGACTCTGTAAATCGCTTAGAGCAGTGGTTCTCAACCTTTTTAATGCCGTTACCCCCCAACCGGTCGTAAGTCGAGGACTACTCAACTGGTGCAGCACCGTTTGCAGAATGGGACTTTTGGCGGGCTAAGCAGGGCAGAGACAGCCTGGACAATTCCTATCGGCTTTCGAAAGCCAATAGAATTAGACTCTATTCAAGAGAGTCTATTCTATTGGCTTTCAAAAACCAATAGAATAAAAGGGAATAGCACAGCTAAGGAAAAGGGGGAAAAAATGGCGGACTGCGTTGTTTGGCGACCCCTGTGAAATGGTCGTTCGACCCCAAATGGGGTCCCGGCCCACAGGTTGAGAACCACTGGCTTAGAGAGTGCTATAAAGCATTGTGAAGTAATATGTAAGTCTATTGCTATTGACACTTTGACACCCAACACACCGGGATCTCTCTTAGTTTTGAATGTGTCACTTCTGAATGCTGCTAATATAGTTCTGCTCTCTAAAGAGAAATCTTGAAAGAAATATCTACTCTAGTTTGCAGATTACTTATGGGCATATAGGGAAGTTCAAATGTTGTCTTTACAATAGCTTGGCATCCCTTACTGGGGATTTGCCTTTGCCTAGTAGAGTTGCCTGATCTTTGCACTGTGGGCTGGTGCTGGCACAAGGGATTGCTGGGGAATAACTTAGGCTTGAAAGCCTCAATAAAGACTCCTAACACTCATGGTGTGTGTGTGTGTGTGTGTGTGTGTGTGTGTCCTGAGCTTGTGTTAATGGAGTGTAGCTTATTGTGATTCACCACAAACACTTTTAGCATCTCTGGAAGTTTCAAGAATAATTTGTAAAATAGTACAGGAGGACTATAGCTACTAAAAGACTAGGGAGGAGGGACTCTACTGCTTGTATGAGCTTAATACAGCTGTTTGGATAGGCTATCACGTTGCTACTTCTCACTCACTTTCTTGATTCAAGGTAGCAAATTAGCCCCATGGGAAATTTTGTAGGCTCTGGAATAGGGAATGGCTGAAAAGTAATCAACACTTTCAAAAGAAGCTGTCCCGAGTTGTTTCACTGAACTCCCCTTTACAGTCACATATCCTGTAGATGATCAACTGTTATTTTAATTGGATGCAGCAAAACAACCTGGAGACCTGCATTCAACCGCTACTGAGAACTTGGTTTGAGGATTTGGTGTGCCCTATTCAGAGGGTGGTGAAGCTTTTCCAGGAGAAACTTGCCTTTGTGTTACACGCCGTGAGTACCATACAAAATTCACCCTTCTTGGATCTTTGTTGTGCTTTTGTTTGGGTTTCTTGTTCAACAGGCTGCCTTGTTTATCAGTTGCTTTAGCTGCAGCTTTTGTGATAGTCAAAATATATACAATAAGACTTCACTACTTCAAACAATCTTTAATTGCGCATTCATGTCACCTAGCGTGTGGGGGGAGACACACACTAGATGACGTGATGTGCTAGTTGCTGTCCTTAACATATTATTTCTTTACCTTCAGGAAAGCAACACAACATAGCAGTAGAACTATACTGCAAGGGGCTGTTTGTGGGAAGCGTTAATGGTTTAAACAATTTGGTCAGAAGTAAGGTTTTGATAGCTTGAATAACATAATAACAGCTTTGGCTTTAAGGAGCACTAGCTGTAAGTTGTACATATAATTCATTTTAAAATTGGGCCAGCAGTTTGAGAAACATGGATTTCCCTTAGTTACATGTTTATAAATATATACATTCAATTATGCTTAGAGAGGGCTCTTAGCTCAAAGAGTTTGAAAAACTCTCTGCAGATGAGAGAGAGAGAGAGAGAGAGAGAGAGAGAGAGAGAGAGAGAGAGAGAGAGAGAGAGAGAGAGAGAGAGTAAAATAGGTAGGATGCCAGAAATAACATCTTCTTTCAATAGAGTTTGACTGTTCTTGATATGTTGGCCTTTGAGTCAGTGTTGACTCTTGGTGATTGTCATCAGTTTTCTGATGAGATTTTGGAAGTGGTTTGCCATTGTCTCCTTCCTAGAGCCGAGAGAGAGTGTGACTGGCCCAAGGCTATCTTCATGCCTAAGGTGGGACTAGAACTCCTAACTACTATACCAAACTGGCTCTAGTTTATCAATATTTGAGGTCAAATTCCTGCTTGATCAGGAAGCCCTCTGGCCTTTGCTCATTTTAACGCAACTGAAGCCATTTGAAAATAAAATGGAGGCCAGGGAGAAGTTTACATACACAGATGGTCCTTGACTTACAATCATTCATTGAGTTCAAAGTTACAACCACACTGAAAAAAAGTGACTTATGACCAGTTTTCACACTTAACAATCGTAGCAGCGTCTCCACGATCACACAATCAAAATTCGAATGCTTGGCAACTGGCATGTATTCGTGACAGTTGCAGTGTCCCAGGGTCACTTTTTGCCACCTTCTGACAAGCCAAGTCAATGGGGAAGCCAGCTTCACTTAACAACCCTGTTAATACTTAACAACTGCAGTGATTTTTAACCACCGTGGCAAAAAAAGGTCGTAAAAACGGGGCAAAATTCACTTCACAATTGCTTTGCTGAGCAACAGAAATGTTGGGCTAAATTGTGGTTGTCAGTCAAGGACTAACCTGTACATTCTGAAGGGCCGGGAAGAGGAAGAAAGGACAAAAACGAACTGACAGATGTTCAACTGACACCTGTTGAAAATGAAATTGCTGGTTGATAACAGCATAGCCCTTTACATCTGCTGGGCAATAAGGCCAAGTGTTTCCTGAGACAGATAAAAGAGTAGAGAATTGCAGTCTAAGGCTAGGTCATTATACCAAGTGGTGATGCTGGGTCTGCTCTTTCCAGGCTCTAAGTTGCAGTCCTGTTGAAGTGAATGGATCTGAAGAAAAGACAGAGAAGGATATCAACAGGTAAGCAAAGGTCCCTCAAGGTGATATTTCTCGGGAGCACCCTTGCTCCTTTTGAGATAACTGCTTAATGGAACTTGACTCTTGACTTATACATCCTGGAAATCTGTTTACATTCTTTTCCAGGTTCCTTCGAGCAGCAAGTCTTCAAGATCTGGTCAGGGAAACTATGGTGACTTCCTCGTGCACAGCTGCAGCACCAGAGGAGCAGTGCAAATCTATGGTGATTGACTTGAATGGGCCACAGCTTTGCTTCCACAGTGCAGGTAAGCTTACGAAGGAGATGTTTTAGTAATAATAATAGTAATAGTAACAATTGCAAAAGGCAGCCTTACTAGGAACTGCTTCCATCCTCCGACGAGATCTGTAATACCATCAAACATCCACATCTGCCTATCCCAGGTCCTGGGTAAGGACTTGATAGGTAGACAAAAATGCCAAATCCAGTCTGAACATCTGGCTGACTGTGCGATGATCAATAATAATAATAAAGTTGGAAGGGACTTTGGAGGTCATCTAGTCCAAACCCCTGCTGAGGAAGGAAACCCTATACCATTTCAGAAAAATGGCCATCCAGTCTCTTCTTAAAAACTTCCAGTGTTGGAGCATTCAGAGCTTCTGGAGGCAGGTTGTTCCACTGATTAATTGTTCTAACTGTCAGGAAGTTTCTCCTTAGTTCTAGGTTGCTTCTCTCCTTGCTTAGTTTCCATCCGTTGCTTCTTGTCCTGCCTTCCGGCACTTTGGAGAATAGCTTGACTCCCTCTTCTTTGTGGCAGCCCCTGAGATATTGGAACACTGCTATCATGTCCCCCCTTGTCCTTCTCTTCATTAAACTAGACATACCCAATTCCAGCAACCGTTCCTTATATGTTTTAGCCTCCAGTCCACTCCACTTCTAGCACCTGAGTGGTGCTCAGTAACAAGAGCACAAGGAATGTGGAGAGGCTGGTGTTATTTTAGACCTCTCTACAAGGACAGTTGTTTAAGGCAGAGTCTTATTTGAGTCTAGCCTTACTGTACTTGCATTCATCTAATATACTCAAATATAGCAAATTGATTCCCAGATTTGGAAGGCTTATCACCATGGACCAATACAGAGATTTTGATTGGCTCATTATTTCATATAAATTGCTTTGTTATTTGCTTCATTTAAAGAAGCCCAGAGCAAATCCAAAAGGTGGCCCTTTGGGAAAACAGCACTTTTCTTTCTTTCCTTCTCTGTCTTGAAAGAAAGAAAGAATTCTGAAAGGTCGCTGTCAATTTTTTCTTGGTCTTTATGGCATGCTTCAGATTCATTATAACATTATGCAGCGACAGCCTAAAGCTGCAATTTGGGGTCCCTCCAGAGCAGTGGTTCTCAACCTGTGGGTCAGGACCCCATTTGGGGTCGAACGACCATTTCACGGGGGTCGCCAAACAACGCAGTCTGCCATTTTTCCCCCTTTTCCTTAGCTGTGCTACTCCCTTTTATTCTATTGGCTTTTGAAAGCCAATAGAATAGACTCTCTTGAATAGAGTCTAATTCTATTGGCTTTCAAAAGCCAATAGGAATTGTCCAGGCTGTCTCTGCCCTGCTGAGCCCGCCAAAAGTCCCATTCTGCAAACGGTGCTGCACCAGTTGAGTAGTCCTCGACTTACGACCGGTTGAGTAGTCCTCGACTTACGACCGGTTGGGGGTCGCGGCATTAAAAAGGTTGAGAACCACTGCTCCAGAGGCTTAAAACTTTCAAATCCAAAAAATGCCAGATAGCAATTCCTACAGGAATGGAAATCTGACACATGCTTTAAGTCATCCGTTTGAACAAGGCTGGCTTAGAAAATCGTATCTTCAGGATCTCTTCAAACTCACCGCTGGTCTACTAAAGCGTTGATGGCATTTTATGTTATGCCACAAAGCAATTAAGAAAAACTCTTGATCCAAGCTAGACGCTCATTGTTACTGAGTGTTTTGTGCACCCAAAGGCTTCTATAAAACTCAGAAACAGCTTCTCTATGCTGTTGGGCCTTAAATATATATTCTTTTGCTGTCATGTGTCATTCTTTACTTAATATATGTGGTATTTTCCCAAGTATAAGGGTTTTTTTTAAATTATGTGTCATCGAATTGTTTTCAGCTCCTGGCGACCACATAGATTTTCTCCATCCTTAACCTGGTATTGGCTCCCAATGGTAAACTCATCATCGCTGTAACCTGAGTCCATCCGCCTTATTTATTAGAGTTTTATCCCACCTTTATTCTTTTTATAAATAATTCAAGGCACCAAACGTACCTAATGATCCATCCTCCTCCTATCTTCCCCTCAACAACAACCCTGGGAGGTGGGTTGGACTGAGAGAGAGGGACTGGTCCAAAGTCACCCAGCTGGTTTTCATAGCTAAGGTGGAACTAGAACTCACAGTCTCCTCATTTCTAGCCCGGCGCTTGTATCACGAGACCACATTGGCTTTCAAACCTTGCTGCTGGTCCTCCTCTTCTCTTTACGTCTACCTTTCCCAACATTGGAACCTTTTCCAAAGAGTAGGGCAGTGGTGGCGAACCTATGGCACGCGTGCCAGGGGTGGCACTCAGAGCCCTCTCTCTGGGCACACAGGCCATGCCCTGGAGATGGCAACTGTCCCTCTTCAACCAGCCGCCCGCTAACTCGCCAAGGTCCCACATGGCAGGATACATCCCAGCATCCATGCGCTCGCTGGCCTTTGTGTGCAGAGGTCGATGGTGTCAGGCAGCAGCCGCCCCTTCCCCTGCCTCACCTTGCCCTGTGACAATGGCACCCTCGCCTCGCCTCACCCCACAGGACGAGCCTCCTGCCCACCGCCCCACCTGCCAGAGACCCCCTGGATCTCCCCCAACCCTGCCCGGCCCCCACAGGCGTCCCTCCCCACGAGCAACATTGAGGTGATCACGCCCACCTTGGCCACTCCCACCCAATCTGCCATGACCACCACAGCCATGCCCACCTAGTGGGCCACGCCCACCTGGCACCCGGCGATAAATAAGTAGGTTTTGGGTTGCAGTTTGGGCACTCGGTCTCTTAAAGGTCCGCCATCACTGGAGTAGGGTCTTTCCATAGTTAGTCTAGATAAGAGCACTCATTTAAATTTTGACCCTTATTTATCTGCAATTGTGAGATTGATGGCCAAAGAGTAGCATCCTGTGCATTCTTGAAGCCTCAGGAAACCATAATATTCTCTTCCTTTGTAAGTGGATAAGGAATATCTGTGTCTTGTAGAAAACCCTTTTCAGGTAACTTGGAAGACATCTGTAAATTTACTGCATTAACTGAAATAATAAGATTTTTCTTTTTTTCCAACAAATGTCTCAGGAACGAATAGGTTCTGTGAGGATTGGACACAAGCATTTCTGAACGTTTCCGAAGGGGGCAATCCCTTCCTTTTTCGACAAATACTGGAAAACTTTAAATTGAAGGTAACTATCTGTGCTGGGCAAGAACAATGGGAATTGTAGTCCAAATGCATTGGCTGGGGCACTGGCTTAGGGATGGCTGCTATTTGTGATCTTTAGAAATGGCAGTAGATGAAACCTTTCACGTACCGTAACTTCTTTTGAGTCTCGTGTGTTTCCCAACCCACAAATCATAATCTTATTTAAATCAATCTCCAGTAGAAACCAGCGGCAAAGTTTCTGTTGTTTTAATACCACCGGATTGCTTCTTTACCAGACAACCACTGGCTTGGATCTTCATGCTGAGACACAACAATTGTGGCTCAGGTATATTTGTTCTAAAGCAGTGCGATCTGAGTCCTGTGTTATAAAGGGTGGCTTTTGCCTGTGTGATTTGATGCTGCCACAACAACAGCCATGCAGTGTAGGAACACATAATATTGATCATTTATTTATTTAGCACAGTGTTTCTCAACCTTGATAATTTTAAGGCATGTGGACTTCAACTCCCAGAATTCCACAGCCAGCATTGCTGGCTGTGGAATTCTGGGAGTTGAAGTCCACATGCCTTAAAATTGTCAAGGTTGAGAAACACTGATTTAGCATAAGGCATACGGGTAGTCCTCGACTTACAACCGTTCATTCAGTGACCGTTCGGAATTACAGTGGCACTTAAGAACATGACTTGTGCCCATTTTTGCAGCATCCCCGTGTCGATGTGATCCAAATTCAGATGCTTGGCAGTTGGCTCCTGTGATGGTTGCAGTGTCCTTGGGGGTCCTGTGACCATCCCCTTTTGCGACCTCCTGCCATACGAAATCAATGGGGAAACCCAGATTCACTTAACGACCGTGTTCCTAACTTAACAACTACAGTGATTCACTTAGCAACATTGGGAAGACAGGTTGAAAAAAATGGGGCAAAATTCACTTTAACTGCCTCGCTTAACAACAGAAATTTGGAGCTCAGTTGCCGTTGTAAGTCGAGGATCACCTGTAGAGCACATGGGCAGCAGTAATAAAATTGTATAGAAGGAGCACATAATACTATGGCACACGTATGATGGGAATGTGTTGTCAGTTTTGTAAGGCTTGAGGAATTCAAAAACATTAAGTTATAGATTACATTTTAAATATGTCGAGTAAGTGTTTTATATATTTATATCTAGGCCAAGGGTAGGCAACCCAAAACACTCAAAGAGCCACTTAGACCCGTTTCCCACCAAAAACAAAACACCGGGAGCCGCAAAACCTTTTTGATATCTAAAATGAAGATAACACTGCATATATCCTTTTTTACCTTTATTATAGGTGTGTGTGTGTGTGTATACATACACACACAGGTAAAGGATATATGCAGTGTTATCTTCATTTTAGATGTCAAAAGGGTCTCTGTGTGTGTCTCCCTCCCTCCCTCTCTCTTTATCTGCCCTTGGTCTGCCAGTCCTCTTCCCCCCCTCTCTTTCTCTCCCTCCCCCCCTCTCTCCCTCTCTCCTATCAGTTGCTCACCTGGCAAGCCGGCTTCAAGCTGTTCTCCAACAAGCTCAGAGGTAGGCAACCTCGGCTCTTTTATGACTCATGGACTTCAACTCCCAGAATTCCTGAGTCAGCATAGCTGGGCTAGCTAGCTCTTTCCTGCCCTTCCTGCTTCCTGCAGAGACACAGCAAAGGGAGGAGTTCTGCCTTGTAAGCTTTTCAGCTCCTCGGAAAACACTGTGAGTGCACTCTCTTTTACACACACAGAGAGAGAGAGAGGGAGAGGGAGAGGGAGAGGGAGGAAAGCGCAAGTGGCAGAGGGGGCTGGGAGCCACAGGGGAAGGCTCAAATAACCGTATGCGGCTCCGGAGTCGCAGGTTGCCGACCTGTGATCTAGGCCATTTATCCAATTAAACGTTTGTTCATTGGAGGATGTCTGCTTTTCCTCCTGTATAAGTTGGTTTAGTTTAAAGATGAGAAGTCCTTCCTACTAAATTTCTCATTTACTGCTCCCGATTCCTGTATATAAACACGCAGCGTGCAGGAGGTGCAGGAGTTTATATTAGTGTCCAGAGAAGCACCGTATGTGTACAGTATTGGCAGTGGACAGCAGCAGCCTGCCCTGATTGCCCTGCAGGGGGAAGTCATCCACCCTTCTTGCCCAGTAGATTGTGTGCAACTGCCTTTATCCGAGTGACACTGTCAAGGAAGAAAGTGTGTGGACCAGGGTTTCTGTGTAGGCTTTCTCAGCTGGATCAGGACACCTGTTGTGCATGTTGGCTGCTCTCTTTCCAGGCCATACAGGACATCAACAACCTGAAGCGGTTCATCCGGCAGGCAGAAATGAGCCATTACGCTTTGTTCAAGTGCTACCTGTTTCTGAAGAACTGCGGCAGCGGAGATGTGCTCTTGAAGATTGTCAAAGTAGAATATGCAGAAATGCAGGAAGCCAGGAATGTCATCAGCGTGCTGGAAGAATTCATGAGAGACCAGCTTGGAGCTTAAATCCTCGTGAACTGAGGGTGGCTTGTACAGTACCAAATCGGCGTGCCTCCATGTAGGATCACAGTGCTTGAGCATGTAGGCCATTGTTGTGTTAAATCATGTGTTACTTACCATGGAGAGCTGCACTCGGCCCCAGCTCCTCACAGACATGTGGTCCAACAAGAAAACCTCTCCCATAGCATCTTCTGTGAGGTTGAGTTAAATTGGTATTTGTTGGCATGGGAACGAGCTGAATATTCAAGTGTTCACTCTCCTCCCTGCTTTCTCTTTTCTGTCTGGCTTGCAAAACCACCGTCCCTTGGTATCCAAAGTGGTTTTAGGCTTTCCTTATAAACCACAGTCAAAAGCAGGATCAATCCATAGTTTGCAATCCCTACATGTTAGGCCGCAACTTTCAGTAAGAGCCAGCTGCTATAGACGAAGAACAATGGGGTTGATCTAGACTTCAGCACAGTGTGGATCCAGGCTATACTTCCTGGAGATAAAATAAGGGTTAAGTGGTTTTGTCACCACTAGTCACTTGGGTGGAAGGAGGTGTCAGTGTAGCTGTCCAAATGGGTTTTGAGTGGATACATGTACAGATCTTGGCTAGCTAAAAGCAGCATAGTTGCACGTCTGGATCAAGCATATGGATTTGCTCCCATTCTCTCTTGCTGTCATAGACACATATACACACACAAACATACAAATCTCATCCCAGCAAGAAGCTATTTACCTTAAAGCAGGGCAGTTGAGCCTGGAGCGCCAAATAAATTTACACATTGGTCAAATGAATTATTATTAATTATTTATATTTGTACTTGTAAAACCTGACCCCATTTTTACAAGTTGTAGATAATGGGGTTTTGGTGAGGTATGCTTATATCAACCACTCACTGGGTGGGGGAGGGGGGGAAGAAAGCTGAGCAGTACATCCGAAATAAAATCTATGCACAAAATTGTTCGTGGAAAACTATACTTAACGTACACAATAGAAAAATATTTTGACATTTCTTACATCATGCTGCTTTGCACGTCCACTCTTTGCTTGAATAGCCCTTGATGGGAAAAGCCTGCTCTATTCAGCATATTTTTAAGGCAGAATCACTTCGTTTGGTGCTATAACAATAAGCCATGGAGGAAGATATTAACTATGTAGGAATATAAAAGTTCGTACTTTCTTGCATTTGCTAATTCAGTGTACATTGTGAGGCAGTGGAATCGACACGGTGACTAATAATGAGTATTAAATTTGGCGAACATTGATGTATTTTTGCTGCATAAATTCAATCTGTAAAATTCTGTGAGCTCCGATTTGCATTCTGTTTGGAGATCTTGGAGAGGCTCAGAAAGCTTTCTTTAATGCGGAACTGTTGAGTAATTAGGGTATTAAATGCGTTCACCTTCAAGCAAGGTTGGCTTTGTTCCCGTTTCTGTTCATTGCTACACTGAAAGATTGAATGCATCTCTTGTACCGCTTGTTCTGAACACAGGAAAGGTGGTTCCTAGTAAGCTGGGGTAGTGTTGGACTTGAATTTTGGGGTCGAAGTGCTGAGGGTGGAGGGGCGATGTTGGGTGACAAGCCCAATTCTGATTCGGCCCAATTCAGTAGCATGAGGAAGAGAGTTCCCAAAGTCTTAAAAGGATTTTGAATACAGTTTGAGATAAAGTATTATTTAATAAGGCCATAGTTTGAAATTATTGAGCCGAATCTTTAGCCCTAAATGCTTACCATTCAATTATTTGTAGAAAGCAGTATATTTTTTTTAAAAAAAATGCAGATTGAATCACCCAGGAAATATAGCATCTAGCCTGGTAATAAATTCCTACGTGCTGTGAAAAATGTGATGTCTAAGGAGATGTACAGAGGTCAAGACCACAATTGGAATGGAACAGTTATAGAGCCAGCGAAATTCACAAAAATTGGCAGAGAAGAAAGAAGCCGGCAACTGGAAAAAAGTAGATTGGGTGTTCTCAGACTAGGCCGGGGTAAGCAACCTTGGCTCTTTTATGACTGGTGGACTTCAGCTCCCAGAATTCCTGAGCCAGCCATGCTGAGGGGAAAGGGAGAGGTTTCCATACTTAGCCATTCTGGCTCAGGAATTCTGGGAATTGAAGTCCACGAGTCATAAAAGAGCCAAGGTTGCCTATCCCTGACCTAAGCGGTTACCACTACTGATTCTTCCTTAAAAAGATTTTTTTTAACGTAAGGAAAATTGATACAGGTAGTCCTTGACCTAACAACCACATTTGGGGCCAGAATTTCCATCGTTAAGCGAGTCACGCCCAATTTTATGCCCTTTTTTGCCATGGTTGCTAAATGAGCCTCTGCTGCCATTTAGCGAATCATGTGGTTTTTTAAGCAAATCTGGCTTCTCCAATTGACTGCTTGTCAGAAGCCAGTTGGGAATGTAGCAGATGGGAGATTACGTGACCCTGGGACAGTGCAATTATCCAATACAAGCACGTGAGGAGGCTGCAATTGTCATAAGGGCAAGGGCCAGTTGTAAGTCACTTTCTTCAGGGCCATTGTAACTTCAAACTGTTGCTATGTGAATGGTTGTAAGTTGCAAGAACAGAGCTGCAGGAAAATATTACTGGGATGTTGGGTAAACATGATGGCGTTTACACAATTAATGCTCTATATGGGAGCGCTCAAAAGAATGAGGAAATCACCGTAATGTTCCTCTCTCATATCTTCCAATATCTTTTGAATTTAGAACATCATAAATGTATTACTACAGCTCCAGGATTATGTTAGCCATCTATACAAAACCAGGAAATGACACCCAGAACGGTTCCCCCCCCCACGTGCAACATCTGTAAATTCTCAGCCAGCATGACCGAGCACTACTGTTCCTAGGAGACGTTCATGTTGAAAGGCTGATGTGGCTATGTAGTTGCGGTATACGGCTGCTAGCAAATCCCCCTTGTCAAATTAGGAAAAAAACTGCTCCAGTGTCTTTCCCCCATCAGCTTCCGTTCTTTGTCCCTTCCTGTCCGGAGTCCTGGCATTTAAATAGCAGAAAACCAGTCTGAAGAGCTTTTGGGATCATTTCCTGAGATAAGCTGCTCTGCCATTACTTCCGTGCACATGGTATGTTTTAAACGCATTCGACACTGATCGCTATTACTTAAGAATAAGCTGTGAATATTGAAACTGTTGATTAACATGAACACCTTAAAACAGTTCACTACTTCAGACCTAAAGAGAAGAAATATTGTTAACAGTTCTCCTGTATCTGTGAGATTTTCCTTGTTAAACCACAGTTTGAATCAGTCTAAAGTAGTGGTAGGAGACCAGATACTTGGGTCTGCAGCTCCTGTTCACTATGCTTTTTGGGGGGAGCCAATGAGGCTGGGAATCCAACATCTGAAGAGTAACTGGTTTTTCCTTCACCTAATTTAAACAGTGGTTCATAGCACAGATCAGAACCAAGACGTATTTGGGGATCCTGGTTTGTTTCTTGCCTTTGGCCATCTAGATTGTTAAAAAAAAAAAAAACCTGCACCTTGCTGATTGGAATGTTTGCTATTATTTGAGGATACAGCATTTGTTCATATGGCACAAAAACCATTGATTTCTGACCAGAATCAGATCTAGTCTGTTTCCAATACTAAATGCACACTAAATTCTCTGGTCATCACATCTGTACCGCAAAAGGGCGCTGAATTATAATTTATAGAGAAGGCAGCTGTGTAATCTTTTCCTGCCTTCCTTTAGTTAAGAAACAAAAACTGAATACCCACTTTCATTTTCTTTAACTAGTTAAAAAGCAGGCTGAACCAAAACACTGGAAGGGAAGATGTGCAGTATATAGAAAAAGGATTAAACTCTCTTATCCGTACCTTTCTTCTGACAAATTGTACCGATTGTAAACCAGCTATCAAAAGCTGATCAAGCCTGGCAACATTTTCCCTTTTTTGGATGTTCAGTTCAAAACACACCAGGAAATTATAGCAGATCTCAAAACCACTCTGAATGCTAAGTCTAACTGTGTTGTGTGTCCCACAGAGTCTCAATAGGGAAGTTCTCAAACTCCAGGCAGAAATGTCTCTCTTCCTGGAACAGTATATATATTAAAGAAAAATCATAAAATACAAAACAAATCCAGTCATATACACTTATCTTTCTGCCTAGGACAATTTAAAAAAAAAATCTCATGAGGTGGCATCAATTTAAGAGCAGGCTGTGTCCATGAAGCATCAGCTTGAAAAATGGTGAATGCAGCTCTTTGAAAGATAGCTACCCTATCTACACATTACTTTGTCCCCACTCAAGCTAAGCAGTGTTCCCTTCTCATGACCTTTCCTGTTCCTGTTCTGTTGTTTTTAAAACTGCATTATGATTCTTCATTATGAAAGAAAAGAGCTTATCTGATTTTACACTTTCTGCTTCTCAATCAATCATGCAAAAACTTAGCTGAAGATGAAACTACATCCCCTTTGATATTTTTAATCTCTCTTTTTGATAGCAGTGTAATAGTTTAAAACGTGTTATGTCAGGGAAGTTATCAGAGATTCTGAGCAGAGCAGAAACTGCCGTGAAAACGCTAGGAAGGAGTACAGGATGCAACAACTATCTGTGCCAGACCAATTCTGTAAACTAGCCAGAATATTTGGACCTAAGGGGAAAATATTCCACTCACTGAAACAACAATATTCCCGAATAATTTGATATTAAATGCAAGTTTAACTCCCAAGTTCTTCCATCTTGTGATACTGGAATAGTGAAATAGTAAATTTGTCTCAGAATACATGGGTGAGTGGAAGGAAGGAATTGTATATTACATTGAGAACCTTTACACTATGATCCCCTGTTGTGGGAGAAAGCAATGTTGTCCCTGGATCATGATGGAATGCCTATTGTAAGGTAAGGAATGTATTAATAGTCAGAAAACAGATTTCTTCTCTAATCATTGCTTCTATCAATGCAGACCTGGATTATATTGGAAATTCCATTTGCTGTCATATTAAGGGCTGATTTCTTACAAAGACAAAGAGGTCATTTGACAGGACACTGTTTTCCTATAGGCAGACCATGTGCATCACCTTTACTTCACTTTTGTAGGTCAAAGTAAGGAAAGATAAAGTCAGATTTGAATTGAGTTGGTGACTTTGTGGATCCTTCCATATTGATCCTGGGCAGTCATACAGAAGTGGTTTGCTATTGTCCTCTTCAAAAGACGGGCTGTTATTGTTTTTAAGTGCACAGAGTGACCTACAACCTTGGTATCTCCTGCCAATATCTTGTTCCTGTTCTGCCAAAATCAGCCACATGCTACCACATAGCTGGGCAACATGCCATAAATATGCTGCAATCTGGTATGTGTGGAGAGAAGCTATATGTGAATGCAAGCACAGCTGACTTTCAAGTGAATACATGGAGATCAGAGAGAGAGAACGGGAGAAGCCAGACAATGCTTCCGATCACAGTTTCTTCCCAGTTTCAAATTCTCTATCCATCCACCTGAATGTCTGAACAAGATATCGTAACAAGTCAGTTTTCAATTCTTTGTCAAATGACATTATTAAGCAATCCTTTAGGGTTTCTGCAGGATTTCATTCTCCTTCTGATTCACTAATTTTATTTCTAGGGTTCCTGATGTAGGGTTTGGTTGAGCAAAGATGTGGAGTTGATGTGGAACTGTGCTGTCATCTCTCATTCAAAGGCCTTGCTACATGGTTCATAAAAACGTAAGTGCTTCCCAAGATAGAGAGTAGCATCAAGGTTGACATTATTTGTTCCAAAATATTTTGGATTCAGTGGCCTTTTCTACAAAACAGCAGCTTGCGAGAGATGTAAAAACTCTGCACATGAAGTGTCAAAGCACTCCCAAAGCCAACGATTCGGATCACGCGTTTGTAAAAGCTCTTTAATGTTAAAACCGTACTGCTTTAATATTAAAAGTCATCCTGTTGAGCTTTTCCTTTTTTTTAATTATTTTTGCAAACGTTTTGGATACTTTGATCCCTCTCTCAAATGCCTTCCTGCTTGGAGAAGCAGAGGCTTGACGTTGGTCAATGGTCCTGAAGAATAAAATTTGCAACATTTGAGACATGGGTGTAAACCAGTGGTTCTCAACCTTTTTAATGCCGCGACCCCCAACTGGTCATAAGTCGAGGACTACTCAACCGGTCGTAAGTCGAGGACTATTCAACTGGTGCAGCACCGTTTGCAGAATGGAACTTTTGGTGGGCTCAGCAGGGCACCACCAAAAGTCCCATCCCCAAAGGGATAAAAGGGAATAGTACAGCTAAGGAAAAGGGGAAAAAAATGGCGGGCTGCGTTGTTTGGCGACCCCTGTGAAATGGTCGTTCAACCCCAAATGGGGTCCCGACCCGCAGGTTGAGAACCACTGGTGTAAACGGTCCAAGCAGAATGTACAAGCCAACAATTAGAAGCCAGCGGCGGAACATGCAGAAAAAAACATGTCTCCTTTTTCCTGGATGATAAAGAATGGTAATCTTGCAGCTGATTCCAAGCTAAATTATGAGGCAGGTCATAGCGGGTAAAGAAATCAATAGGAAGAAGTGACAAAATAATTTAAGAACAAGAAAAATATGTTTTGTCCCTTAATGAAATACTGGCAGTTTAGAAGCATTCTTTCTCCACCCAGGAGTGTACATAGTTGTGCTGGTGTGTTAAATCTTTCCAGCATGTTTTCTGTGCAATAAGGCAAGCCTTTGCACATTTCTGGAATCTGCTTACTGGGATAATGACCAATAATATTTTTTAGCCTTACCTCATTGTTCTTCTATACAGGTGGTCCTCTACTTACGACCACGACCGAGCTCAAAATTTATGTTGCTAAATGAGACAGTTGTTAAGTGAATCACTGCAATTGTTAAGTTGTTAAATGAATCCGGCTTCCCCATTGACTTTGCTTGTCAGAAAGTCGCAAAAGGGGATCGCGTGACCCTGGGACACAGCAAGCGTCATAAATATGAGTCAGTTGCCGAGTGTCCAAATTTTGATCACGTGACCACGGGGATGCTGCAAGAGTCGTAAGTGTGAAAAGTGCTCATAAGTCACTTTTTTCAGTATTGTTATAACTTCGAATAATCACTAAATGAATTAATAATAATAATAATAAAGTTGGAAGGGACCTTGGAGGTCATCTAGTTCAACCCCCTGCTCAGGCAGGAAACCCTATACCATTTCAGACAAAATGGCTGTCCAGTCTCTTCTTAAAAACTTCCGGTATTGGAGCATTCACCGCTTCTAGAGGCAGGTTGTTCCATTGGTTAATTGTTCTAACTGTCAGGAAGTTTCTCCTTAGTTCTAGGTTGCTTCTATCCTTGATTAATTTCCATCTGTTGCTCCTTGTCCTGCCTTCAGGCACCTTGGAAAATAGCCTGACTCCCTCGTCTCTGGGGCAGCCCCTGAGATATTGGAACACTGCTATCATGTCCCCCCTCGTCCTTCTCTTCATTAAACTAGACATACCCAATTCCAGCAGCCTTTCCTTATATGCTTTGGCCTCCAGTCCCCCAATCATCTTTGTTGTAATGTTGACTGTTGTTAAGTCAACATTATCAAGTGCTTTCAATTTCCAAAAAAATGTACAAATAGAAACATCAAATTTAGGGTTTGCTAGGTAAACTCATTTGCAAACCCCTGCGCCAAACCCAAACCCCAAATTGACGAAATGTGACTGTTGTGCTATCACAACGGGCTATGCCTGAAGACCCGAATAAGACTGAGTGTGATCCCCAGAGTCTCACACAACATGCTAGTGATTTCATTACATACTGAACTTCAAAGTACCTCATCTTATTTAATCTAGGCCAGTGTGTGGCGCGATCCCAGCTGATTTTTCTCTAGGCTAGACAAACAAACAAATGTCCTTCCAGTTCTACTATTATTTGCTTCCTGGCAGCTATGTAGATGTGATTATTTTAAATCCACAGGGTTTCTTTCCACATGAAACCTCCCCCTGTCGCAAGGGGTGCATCCCATGAGATTGCATAAATAATTCACTCAGGCTTGCATACCTGTTGAGGCACTACTGTTAAACACATCCCTGATCTGTTGAAGCAATTCTCCCCAGTCTCATGTCCTCAACTATGATGAGACCACAATTCTCAGAATTCCAGGTGAGCAGGTGACCCCTAAACAATAGCAAGTAGTTAAAAGTTCTCTGGATCTCATTGCTGCCATCTAGTCATCTGGATTTCTCAGCCTAAGTTTGGTAGCCCTGAATAAACCAGATCCCTTCAACTTTTTCCAGAGATCTTGACAAGGCAAGGGTAAAATGTCAATAAGGTACAGTAGGTGTGACAACTCAACAGAAACTCTGCCTGTTTTTAATGTTCATTGCTGCATGTAAAAAGGAGGCAGGGCTTCGGTCATGCAGCTGGGCCCTCCATATTGACTTTTTTAAACCACCTCTACAGTGCCAGTATTTTCAGTTGTGTGTAGATTAAATATACCAAATCCAGACTTCAGTTCCGAGAATTCCTTTGGTCCTGCTGAGTCCCAACATATTTAGAGACTGTCAGATGGAGAATGGCTTCAGTGAAATGCATGTGAAAAATTAACAAAGCATCATTACAATTTTGCTGACTGCATTCACAAGAGGCAAAAGAACAAATCTGTACTTTCCAAACCAAAATTTCTAGAATATTTTGTTCAGGGAGCACATCTACTTCTTCCAAAATTGGTAGATCAAGATCTTGAAAAATACAGAAGACTGCAGGAGAGCTCGTAAAAGCAGCTAAACATCAAGAACATCTAGGTTGTTTAATGGGTTGCAAAATTCTGGAAGAACTCTTTTAAACTCTAACTATCCTTCTCCAAGGAGCAGATCCTGCTTTAAAATGAACAGAAGGACCAAAGCCCCAAAGGAAATAATATAGTTATTGTAAGATTCAACAGCTTCAAGAAATATATGATGACTAAAAACCCAGCCACAAAGAATAAAAAAAGAATTAAATATGCAGCTGAATTTTATAAGCAGACTAAAGCACCTTCAAATATTTCAGTGTGATTTGGTTGATTCTTTAGCTGAAAACCAGCTTCTGCAAGTGGCCGTGGGTGATTCTAAAATCAGAATCCTCCATTTATTTTTCCCTCTTAATTCCCCAGAAAACTCAACAAATGATGGAAAGGCTAAAATATTTGGACTTAAGAGACTTTGGGCTGCTATAGGGCTACAAAGTGGGTACCAGGCTGGCATGTCATAGATGGTCTCCAAGCCTTTCTTTTGCTCCGCATAACTTACAACCCATTCACTAAAGAAAGGAATATATTTTCCAAATGGACGGAAGATTGTCTGGTGTAATCAAATGTAATAGATTACAGCTCCCATCATCTTGAACCAAAGTGATGGGTTGATAGCACAACACATCTGGAGGACATCAGCTAAGGAAAGCTCTTCTGAAAGTTTCTAACTGTGAATGCTGGAAAAGATAAAACCATCCAAATGAGCCTTCACAGCGTGCACGAACATTTCACCCATATGTATTGGGCTAAGCATCCAGGGGACTGAATCTTCCTTTAGAATACAGCACCAAACTGGTTATATGAGCAAAGGGCACAAGGTGTGGCTCATAAAGATCATGGTACCTGTAAATCTCCACGCCCAAACATCTTCCAAGCAAGGATCCGTGGATTCATTTCCCATCAAGCACGCATAGTTCTCCCTCAGCGCATGTCACTCCTGAACTTGGATACATTCCTCTCCTGTCACATTCATTAAAAAAATAAATCCTATGGTTTCAATTTTTTTTTTTTTGTCCATGAAGCTGGAAGATGGGAAGTCATTTCTTTGTCGTTTAGCCCGAGCTCTTAAGGAAGTGGAGGTAGTTTGAGATCCAACAGGCTGTAGGCAAAAATGTTCCAGAAGATGGCAAAGAGAACAAACACCACATACATGGAAACGAAGATCCACCACACTGATTGATCTTGGAGTCTCTGCTCGTAATTCCTTAGAATAACCACACCAAGCGTGATTCCAACACCCACCCCACCTAGGTGGGCAACAAAACTGGGATGAGGACATGGAGGATAAGCAGATGGGTAGAATCTCAGCCATACAGCTCTTCCAAATTCAAAGCTCACTGAAAGAGAGATGAAGCAGTAAGTCACACGTGCCCACAATTCATCAGAAATTGCACTACATTGTCCATTCACTGTCCCATATAATTTCATGCTATTATGCTGTGATGCAGCATTTGTCCTTACCCTTTTTAGCAGCATTTTCAACGAACATAGCAGCTTATTTGGCAAGAATTTCTGGCCATGTAGAAAGACAGCTACTCTACCATTCTGGGTCCCTTTTAAGCCAGACTGTCCAGATTTCACGAACATGCAACATGCACCTTGTGTGCAGTTTTAAAATATATGTAGATTTAAAATGTACAGCAGGAAAAGAAATAAAAACCCAATGACTTGAAAAGAAGTCTGTGATAACTTTTATCTTTTTAAATAAAATATGCTTTTTGGAACAAGTCTTTTTCCCATTGCTAACAGGCAAAAAACGCCTTCTCTATGAACCTTCCTTTCCTTCCTCCATTTCTTTTTTTTAACCTCGAAAAAGTCAACAGCCCCTTTCTCTTTTTGCAACTGGCCCTATTATCATAATGGGATGGAAATTCGTATTAGGGTTCAGCTATAATCTCTGTTGCCAAAGATTAGTGGAACACAGGTGGTGATTCAGATTAAGCAGATAGATTGATTAGGAAAGACTGGGCAGCCTCTCCAGAACATTACAGAGGTTCTCTTCTTTTCCACTTGAGCCAACTACTGCTTAGACTACGGGTGTCAAACTCGCTGTGTCACGTGATGTGTTGCGACGTATCGCAACTTTTTTTTTTTTGCATTGCCAGAGCTGGGGTGGGGGTGGCCTCTGCATGATGCAACCGGCAGTTGGACACCCCTGGTTTTAGATCATCAGGAAAATGCAAGCAAGTCTTAAAGTGGGAAAAATCAAGGAACAGGACTGTACCCCTCATTTTGGCTTCAGGGAGCACAAAATATGATTGCACTTAACATGACCGGATGTATTATTATAAAATCACTAACAGGCACAGATAAAACCCTGCTGAAGATGTTACCTAGTTTGGTAACAAAATGTCTGGGAGCCAAGCTTGGAAGAGAAACATCTGCCTAAAGGGCACACATACGTCTGACTCAGAGCCTGCTGGAAGAACCAGGTCTTAAGTTCCTTCCTGAAGGCCAGCAAGGTCAGGGAAGAAGACCTCTGCTTTCTGAACCCTTCACAGATGGCCACCACTAGCTTAGCTAATCAGGAATTCCAACTTACTCTTAGATTTCCAAGAAGCCATCGTTCATTGATGGCAAACCTTTTAGAGACCGAGTGCCCAAACCACAACCCAAAACCCTCTTATTTATCACAAAGTGCCAGGGCCGCATCAGTATTGTGGTGCCCTCGGGGGGGCCATGGGGCGTGGCCCACTGGGTGGGCATGGCCCACTGGATGGGCATGGCTGCAGTTGTCATGGCAGACTGGGTGGGCGTGGCTGCGGTGGGCATGGCCACCTAGATGTTGATCATGGGGGGGATGCCTGTGGGGGCCGGGCAGGGTTGGGGGTGATCCAGGGGGTCTCTGGCAGGTGGGGCGGTGGGCAGGAGGCCCAGCATAGATGGCAGGAATGCACGCAATCCTAGCTGGGACTGGGGGGCCATGGCGCCAATGGAGATCTGGCTTTCCCTGCTCGGGGTGGCCTTTGGCTTGCTGGGTGTGGGCGTGCTCTACCACCTCTGCTAGCTGGCCGCTTCACCTCCTTTATGCTGGGTGGGGCTACTGCTCCAGGTGACAGTGGCAGCCTAATGGACCCGCGCAAGCTGCTGGCAGTAGCAGCGGCACACGTGCCCACAGAGAGGGCTCTGAGTGCTGCCTCTGGCACGCGTTCCATAGGTTCACCACCACTGCCATAGTTTATTCCAGTTTCTTTCTCTGTTTTTTCCCAAAGTGGCAAAAAAAAAAATTGCCCAATACACTAATCAAAGAAAGATAGATCTGCTCATTGTTCATTAGCACTATCCAAATTAATTGTTGTGCATTCCAGTTTGATCCCGTAAGTATGTGTGATTCACACATCCTCTTGCAGGTTTAGAAGGCGAAGTGAGCAGCTCTGTTATGGGATGTCCCAAGATTGGTTTTTCTAATTTGCCACTATTATCTTTGGGCTACTAATCTGAAAAATCAATGTTCAAGAATATCTTTAGACATAGCAGGTGCATTAAGGAGAGCCGCTTCATAAGGATACTTACTGCAGATCAAGGCAACGGCCATGCGCAGCAGCTTGAATTGACACTTCATTCCAGACCAGTTCTGAGAAAGAAATAAAAGAATCTTCAAGTGAGTTTTTCCATCTGCTGAGTATCTGGAGACAGCTCTGATTCTCTGGGGCTTAATCTGGGTCCCTTCTCCTTTGCTCACTCACTGCGGCTTTGGTAATGAGCCCCAGAGAAATACATTAAAAAAGACTTGCCTTCTGAAACCTGCCAATTCTTTCTTTCCTAAATCAGCCAGAGTATTGACCGGAAGAGGAGAGTGGTATTTAAAAATAATAATAATAACAAACAAACATCAAGATGTGAATTCTGGCTTTATATCCTTTCATTGCTCAAGACTGTCTGAGTACATCATTTTTTAAAAAGTTGCTCTCCATGCAGTGGAACCTTATGCTGTTTTCCTTAATGAGTTCTTACAGAACATGAACAGGTTTGGTAGGGAGGATTTCTGATAATTAACTGATCTATGCAATGATAAATTACAACGTAACCTCCAATATTTTACAGAATAAGAGAAGGGATCTTGGAGTCCTCTAGTCCAACCCCCTTGCTCAGGGGGAAACACTATACCCTTTCAGACCAACCTCTTCTTAAAAACCTCCAGTGTTGGAGCTTTCACCGCTTCTGGAAGCAGGTTGTTCCACTGGTTAATTGTTCTCACTGTCAGGAAGTTTCTCCTTAGTTCTAGGTTGCTTCTCTCCTTGATTAGTTTCCATCTGTTGCTTCTTGTCCTGCCTTCAGGTGCTTTGGAGAATAGCTTGACTCCCTCTTCTTTGTGGTGACCCCTGAGATAATGGAACACTGCTATCATATCCCCTCTCGTCCTTCTCTTCGTTAAACTAAACACATCTAATTCCTGCAACCATTCTTCGTATGTTTTAGCTTCCAGATCCTAATTAACTTTGTTGCTCTTTTCTACATTTGGGAATAAAGGTATTCTTGTGTGCAGCACCCTATTCTCATAGTGCAGGCACTGGCCTGTCTGCTCACCATTCATAGTTTTGACTATTCCTCTCCAGCTCCATTCGTTTATTTGGCTATACCTCATCTCTTGAATGGATTCAGAGAAGGCTTTTATTTTGCTGTTAATATATATATACTACATTACAGAACAGGGTTTTATAAAATACTACAACTCCATGAAAGTTTCCTACAAACTATCTTTACTAGGAGCAACTACAAGCACCCAAACTCCAGGGGGCTTTTGATGTTGCCACATTATTATTTTTTTTTATTAAGCAAGAAGGTACATAACTACGTTTCCAGGGAAAAGAGAAAAGGTTGAAAATAATCTGATACAATGAAGAAACCGTAAAGAAATCTAAATCAGTCTGTGAAATGGTATATATACATTGCATTAAAATGGCCTGAACGTTTCTACAGTATATGTGCCTGTAAATCCCTATGGAATGAGAAGAAAAGTGCAGATTTTGGAAACTGGAGGAAGAAGGTAGTTCAAAGTCAATCCTTGGCAACCTTAGCACATCATGTCAGCGTCTACGTCTTCAGCTATCAAAGAAGATGGTGAAGTGATTTAAAGGACTAGGAAAGTTGGAGTTGCTACTGACTGGGAAATGAAGTTTGCCCATATAGTGATTACAGCCCTGCTCTCTCCTAAACATTGGACAGGCTGGCCAGGGAGGATAGGAGTTATTGCTCAATAAATGTTGGCTTCTCAGGCCAGAACACCCTGCTCCTCATATCTCTTTTAAAAGAATCCTCTAGGTCAACTGCATCATATATCAGACAACAAGAGAGATATCATCCTACTTTTCAGATCTTATCCAATCAACACCAACGCTCAAGAGGCTATTTGGAGCGCTGCCATTACATTGGTTAAAAGAGGAGATTCGTTCTTCCCAAGCTTTTCCAAATTCTGAAATGTAGTCAGCAAAACAGCACTGCTGTGAAGGATATTTTTAAAATTCTGTGATCATTCTAAGAAATTTGTGGGCTTGGGGAGCAATAGCAGTAGCATTTAGACCTATGTACTGTCCCACTGCATGTTACAGCACTCTCTGGGTGGTTTACAATGAGGTATTATTTGCATATGGCCCCCAATAATCTGGGTCCTCATTATTTTTATAATACCTCAGATAGGTGGAAGGCTGAGTCAACCTTGAGCCCCATCAGAATCGAACTCTAGGCTGTGGGCAGAGTTTGACTGCAATATTGCAGTTTAACCACTGCACCAGCAGGATTCCTGATGAAGTTAAAGTCACGTATGCAGATATTGAAAAGTGTTACATGTAGTGTTCTTGCCACAAGCAGTCTCGTTTGAAACAAAATAAGGAACTTGCAGCACTGTTTCTCAACCTTGGGAAGCTTCAAATCCCTGAATTCCTCAGCCAGGTTGGGGGATTAGAACTCGGGTTTGCTTACTCAACCATTAGACCATGGGTAGACAACCTTGGCTCTTTTATGACTCGTGGACTCCAACTCCCAGAATTCCTGAGCCAGCATGGCTCAGCTTGGAAACCTCTCCCTTTCCCCTCAGCATGGCTGGCTCAGGAATTCTGGGAGTTGAAGTCCACGAGTCATAAAAGAGCCAAGGTTGCCTGCCCCTGCACTAGACCAAACCAGCTCTCAAATAGGGACTAACATTCCTTTTTACAGATATTACACAGTCTACAATATTTAGAGGCCAAATACAGTTCTAATTGGGAGCAGGAGGAGAAAATGTAAACATAAAAGTAATTTGGAATAGATCTAAATAGGTAGTGAATGGAACCTTGTTCATTATATCTTAGGGCTGGGTCATAGCATAGCTCTTTGATCCAACAGAACGAGATCACACGGACAACAATACAGAGCTAAACAACAATGGATAAGGCTGGTGGAATATATATTTGTCTAGTTTGGATAGCGGTAGCATTCTTTTTTTTTTTTTTTTATTGAAAGTTTTATAAATTTTACAAAAAGACAAAAACAATACAAAACAAAAGACAACATATACAAAAAAGAAACTAAACATTACATATATATATAAAAAAAACCCCCCATCCCCCACCCCTCATTCTTATTAACATTTCGATTGGTTGAAGTTTTCCCGTGGCCCTTTGAACTTTAAATAACACATTACACATAGTGTTTGATTCTCTATTCAGTTTATCTTGTGTGCGCTTTCTGAACGGCAGCAGCATGTGATTCCAGTTTGGGTGATATAAGGGCAGAAGGGTATATGTGTTGTTGCACATACTTGTTTGCCCATCAGCAAGTTCAGTGCTGGTTACACACAGGCTTGACTGATGGTCCCATGAGGATCCTGGACTAGCCTGAAAGTAGACTCTCTACTGCAGGGGTCTTGAAACTTGGCCCTTTTATGACTTGTGGACTTCAACTCCCAGAATTCCTCAGCCAGCACGGCTGAGGAGTTGAAGTCCACAAGTCATAAAAGGGCCAAGTTTCAAGACCCCTGCTTTACTGATACAATGATTGACAGCTGAAGGGACCTACATCTGGCTTGGCTGCAAGGTATGTAGTTAAAATGATTGTGAAGCAAACAGTGGTCTTTTTTTGGGGGGGGGGTTACCTATCTTTCCTCTTGCCTCAGTATCCTTTTCTGGCTCCCAAAGCTCAGGACATTTAAGAGAAACGATAGCATAGTGGCTTTGCGATTCCCACTCCACAGACCAAATAAAAGGATGAAATTAATAATAATCCCCTTTCTCCTTGGCAAGGGAGGAGCCACTTGCAAAGGGCAACTCAATTTGGTTTCTAAACATTTTTTCCCTTCCCTTTACATGGAGTGAGGACATTTTTGTTCCCGCAAGAGGAGTGGCAAGGCACTGTCTTTTAAAGTGCCTCTGGCTGTTTGGAAGAGAAAACAGTGGCATTAAGAGCACAGTGTTGAATGCTCCAACACCAGAAGTTTTTAAGAAGAGACTGGACAACCGTTTGTCTGAACAGGGTACAGGGTTTCCTGCCTGAGCAGAGGGTTAGACTAGAAGACCTCCAAGGTCCCTTCCAATTTTGTCATTCTGTTATTCCGTGATGCGTAAATTGCTCCACACTACACTGATGAGAATAATAATGATATTTCTCATTCCCCCAATCTCTCTCCACTTTCAAAGTTAACGAGGATTGTAGCGAACCACAGCAGTGACCTTTTGAGCAGCAGCAAGCTGAGATTAGGACTGCAAGATCATTGCCGCTCTTATTTTAGGAAATTATAAATCCTATACTGTGCGCAGATTATTTGAGAGTTAAGACATTTCTCCTTTCATTAACATGCAGCACAAAGAAACACTTCAAGAATACCTGATATATTGAGAAGGTAAATTCTGAAGAAAAAAATAATTAACGATTGAACAAAAGCACAAATTTATTATTTTTTTATATAAATGCCCAAACTCAAAAGGAATTTTAAATTTTCTGCCCCAAATTATCAAAATCTGCATTTCCTTGATTTGGCTCGGTTTCAATCTTTTTCTTTTTTTAACATCCAGCAGTATCTGTGAGATGACAGGTGGAGATGTACACAACCACTTGCATGTTGGCACAAGTTGTTTTGACAAAAATGATGGATTCTGCAGAGACCTCTGTTGACATCTAGGCCAAAGCATCTGTCATACAGTAAATGCCTGTTTCCCCTCTAATAGTCGAAATTCTCATGTTTTCTAAACATATTATCCTGGTGATTATTTCTTTTCTTTTTACTTTTTTGGACAGCCATGAATTAGGCCCTTTTTAGATGGGGAATTTGGAAGTAAATGAGTTAATCACTGCAATAAGTGGCTTTGATAAAGTGTCTACATTTGTTCTAAACCAACTGAGGCTCAGATCAACCAAGCGAACACTCTTCTACACTACCAATGAACAATACAACCCTGTGTACATCCATTTAGAAGTAAGCCTTATTAGGTTCAATTGAGTAAGCTCTAAAGAATTGCAAGCTTTGAAAGCCTGTCTATATTTGTCTCACTATCTCGTAATGTATAGAGATGGCTCTACAAGAAACATCAGCAGGCCAATAAACTTGTTTGACTTAAACTAACTGACTGAGATTGTTCATTGTCTAAGCCATAATTTGATGAA